AAAGACTTAAACTAAACCTTCTATCAACTTTAATTGTCGTTATGGTTAAAAGAATAAAAGATACTCGTGCCCAGCATGTAGCCAATGCATAAGTAAAGTAATAAAGTAGGAGTCTCAACCAGTCTTATAAAAAAAACATACGAATATCTAAACTCATTTTTATTATCTATGAGTATTCACATTTCCTAAATGAGTCTAATTAGTTTGAACCATTTTTTTTAGAAACATTAAGCATTATCCAAAAAAACAAAAAGATATCATAATTCTTACAGATCTAATATAAGTACTGTACTATAGTAATCTCTTCCATTACTTTCTTTTGAGGAGGACCCGATACCTCAACTAAAGATACATTTTTTTTGTATCTCAAATGACATATTTGTTATTTTATGCCTATGAATTCGTGCACAGTGATCATTTAATTGTTTTATTATTTTTATTTGGATGCTCATGACTCATTACACGACTGCACCCCTCTTCATCCTTCCTTTCTTGAGTTTCTTCCTCCTCCCTTCCTTCCTTTTTCTTTCATTTTCAACATTACAATGGCAGTTTCTTGACTTTCTTCACCACGATCTCATACAACAACCCAACACCACAACATACATCAACAACAACCCATCAAGCCGCCGAATTCAACGAAAACCCTAAGAAAATTGGAGAAATTAAGGGCATTGTTAACCCTAAAGGGTAGGTGCTTTCCCTCCTCCATTGAAGTTGCTATACTAGATAAAGAAATTGAAATACTATGATCAACGATTAACACTAAATTGTGAAACTGAAATTCGATAATTAACTGGGCGTTTGATAGTAATTCGATGGTAAAAAAATTGCAATCATCTTATCTCAGAAGTTGCTTCAAAAGGTGGAGAGGAAACTCAAAGGCTGCTTCAATGGAGGTACTTGCGGGGAGAGAGAAAAAAATAGAGGAATGGCCGTGAATGGAAAAAAAGGGAAAGAGAAAGTGAAACTACATTTTTATCCCTACCTTATTAGTTGAAAAGACAACTTTAACCTCTTGAGATATATTGAATGTATATAAGAAGAGATACTTGTATTTTCTCCTTTCTTTTCTCTTAAAAATAAAGGAAAATACTATTGTTGAATCGAACAAATGTACGTGAGATAGCTCATTGGTAGTGAATACCGTCTTAAAGCCTATATACATATATACTAAAACATAATTGTTAATCTGAATAATATTCTAAAATAATACGAAGTATTTCGTATATGTGACTAATGCATGTGTATTAGCTACTATATATTTAAATAGTGAGTATTAGCTCTAAGCTAGACGAATGGAATCTAATCTAAGATTATTGAAATAACAATTTAAGTTTGTTTCATTTGGCCACCATCTTATATATTTTTTATTAGTAGTTAGTAGTTCATCAAATATTAAAAATTATTGCGTAATAATACAGCAGGAATCCAATTTGGAGTAATTCAAAGTGTAACTTACGACTTTATTTTAATTAATTTTTATATTAATTTTGTGTAGAGAACAACAATTAAACCAAAAAATAAAAGGGGTACTGATGAAGAATATTCCTACAGTTTTTCCACAGGGCACGAGAAATTCTACGCGCCCAAATTCAAAGTCGAATAAAAAAGTACAACTATACAAGTAGAATTACGTACCTAAAGACTGAATATCCGTGTTATAGATGGTTCCTTGAATATATACTATATCACAACTCATCATTAACTTCATAACTTGGAATGAATTTCCAATGTCCAGCCTTTCATGCCCACTACACTATCTACGTACCTAGTACCTACATATAGGGTTAGACGTTAATTACCATGAGGAAATTAAAGAAACCGTGTATTGGAGAGAAATATGTTACCAATTTTATAATGTTATGTAATGGAATTGAAATTCAATGCTTTCATATTTTATAAGGTGAGGGTACCATTCGTCCTAGTTTCTAAGATTGAATCGATATTAAGATTTGAGATTTTAGGTCCGTGAGAGGTTTAAGAGAAATATGTTACCGATTTTATAATGTTATGTAATGGAATCGAAATTATAAGGTGAGGGTACCTTTCGTCCTAGTGTCTAAGATTGAATCCTTACTAGAGGGTTGTTATCGATATTAAGATTTGAGACTTTAGGTCTGTGAGAGGTTTAAGAGAAGTAGCCTGGAGAATTTCGTTTACAATAAAAACATAATCGAATATTGTTTGTAATGTGTATAAATTTTACAGTAGTCGTTTGAAATATGACTATCATAATGTCTTAATGATTATATAGTTCATAACTGACATATTTTTTCCAAGTAATTAATTATATTACTTTATTTTTGGCATAAAATAGTATTATCAACATTTTTAAATTATCAAATTTTCAATTTTATTTATGTAATTTTTACTCTTATTTTATAGTTTCTCGAAAAATATTAATTTATGTTGTATTAAAAATTTCAAAAATTATATTTGCGTTATAGATATTAGAAGGCTAATTATAGTCATTTTATAACGTAAAAAAATGAACCGATCATATTGTAAAAAATAATAAGGTAGTCATTTTTCAAACGACCGCTGTAAAGTAGTAATTCTAAATTTGATAAAAAAAATACATTGATTTTGATTCTAGCTCTTGGCCTTGACAAATATTGTTGACATTAAATATACCATCGACACATATAGCCTTGAATCGTAAATTTGCACGTGGGATTTACGGTCACACTATATTTGTGAAGTGCTAAATTAAAAGTTCAAGGTGCACAAAGTTAGAACGGGAAATAAGACTAAAGATTATCCATTTATCCAAGCTACATATGACAACACCATAGTCGTTCTTGCATCACAACTCTGCCCTAACAAAGAGAAAATTGAATTAGAAATACTTCTAGATATAGCTAGCAATAGTGGAGTGATTCACGCCACCTAAACATCAAAATAAGATATCATTGTAAACAATAATTTAGCGACATTGGCGATGATAATTAAGATTTGATTTAAAGTTATCTTACGGGTTAGAAGAGAGAAGAAGAGAAAGAGGTTGGTAGAAAATAGGAAGAATGAGACAACGGAGTTTGGAAAGTAGAGAAATCACTAGAGGTGATGCATGCCGTGATACTATGGTCAAGTGATTCGGAATTTATCTTGAAGGAAAAGAACGGTTTTTATCTTTGTTGATAAACATGTACACTTTTTCTCGTTTTTTCTTTTGTATTCTAGTCTTGATGTATGTATATATAAATTTAATTAAGTGTGGAATTTAAGTCCAAGTCATGTTTAATGCAAACCAAATCAACCAATCATACATGTTTATAGCGTAAACTATAATGAAAATATTTGAAAAGTACTAAGTCATATATAATGTCCTCATAATCTAGTCAAATTGAGTTAACTAATTAAAGCTTACTTTTGTTATATTTGATGCTAGACACTAAGGTTATGTACCGTCAAGTTTCAACCAAGTTTTCTAGAGATTATTTGCTCAAGGAATGATGGAAACTAGTATAAATATCTTTCTTTTTTTTTTTTTTTCTCCCTCTCTCTCTTTTTTTCCTTTTTTTTTTTTTGGACAAAGGATTAAATTGCTTGCATATATTGAAATAATTTAAGCTAAAACAATAAGAACTAGGTCTATCAAAACTTTTACGAGAGCAAAGCTATGACTCTATGAGCGACACTTGCTCTTATGAACACAGGATAACAAACCAACATAAAAGAAACTGCTTTCTTAGTTGTCCCATGAATGTTGGAATCACTTTGTAGGTAGCATCACCTTGATATCTTGATCATGTGTGTAGTTATTCATATCGATATACTTTTTTCTAGCACTTTTACTTACATAATGCAGGGAAAAACTGAATTGCTAATGGTAAAAATAACATTATGTTCTTGAGTGTAACCAAAATTTGATAATGACATGGATTTAAGTGATCGACTTTACTTATGTTATGCAGGGGAAAAAACTTGCGAGAGTTGAGATAAGAAATACTCCGTACTTCGTATATTTTTGTTCATGAGTGTAGCCAAATTTTGGTAATGAAATGGATTGAGGGATTGATGAGAGGCAAAAAGGATATTGAGATGAGAGAATGTATGAAAGAGGGATGAACAACTCCATTTTATTTCATGAGTGTAGTAATTATGTCTACTTGCAATGAAACAATAAGCGTTTGTGCAAGGGTTCGATTTTATTTTCTGATTTAGATAGTATCTTAGATAATATTTTATCTTCTTGTACTGGCTTTAATTCCGTTTCTTGGTGCCATGTTAGACGGGATGGGAATGTGGTAGCTCACAACTTAGCCCATCTAATTCCTTTTGGTGTAGAAAATGTGTGGGAGAACAATTGCCATGGCGAAGTTTCTCCTTATGTAATGATGGATAAGTTATCAATATATAGCACCCCTTGCAGTTTCTCAATAAATATATATATATACCGTAATACAGAAGTATTTGATAATTTAAGTGATAATTGATAACGGTAACAATAGTCATAATTCACAATAAGGTCAAGATAAGATAGTTATTTAGCCCCATGAGTTAAAACATCACAACATTAAGTTTAAAAATTAAAAAAAGTTATAATAAATCAAAAGTTGAGAGAATAAGATACGCTAATCAACCTTTTTCGTATTTTTACACAAAAGTTAGATTTTCATTCAAAATAATAATGCATAATGACATAATGTCATCTACAAAACTAATTATAATACGATGTACGAAGTACAGAGTATATGTTTTTTTAACTATCGGATCATTCACTGATGAAAATACCAAAAGCCAACGAAGAAACTAGGAAGAATGACGGATTAATAATTGATCACACGACAATCCCAATATTATAGACCATGTAGACATGCAAGCGATGCAAAGTAGAACCCAAGACTAAGAAAAAGGGGCAATTCTTGCAACTTCACCTCTTCAAGTCCTTCATCCGTCTTTTGCGGAGACTAGAAAGAATTCTGATAATCCTTGATGAATTTGGAATGCTAGTTATGCGGGAGTCAGTAAACCTGTACTATGTCTTATTAACCAGGTCAAACTTTCCCTTTCATCTACTTTCAAGAACCCACCCCGTAAAATATCATTTTCCATTTTTCTTTATTTTTTATAAAATAAAATAAAATATTTACTCCCAACTAAACAGTCCTTTTTAATTTCCTATATAGCTCCATTCTTCCCACCCAAATACCCTCCCCACTTTTTTTTCCTCCCTTTCTCAATTCTTCATTATAACACTTCCCCTCTTTTCCTCTGCTTTTATTTATTTTAATTATTCAACCCATCAAAAAAAAAAAAAAAAAAAAAAAAAATTGTAACACCAAGACAAACTCTAACTTACACTCATATGCAAAAACCTTAATAATCTCTGAATACTATTCACAACTCTCGGTTCGAGTTGGATTAATTTAGACTCTGAATTATGGAGAAGGAATTCTTTCTAAACACAGGCATACCGCCTTCACTACACTTTGATCATCCATTCTCTTCATCCACAATGCCAACATGGCAAGCTTTGTCGAGCGCAATGGAATTACAATCACCTGATTGTTTTCTATCTACACCGCCTCCTACTTCAGCAAATGACAACTTTGAGTCCGCCTTAAGCTCTATGGTGTCCTCCCCGGCCGCCTCGAACCCGGCCTTGTCTAATGACAATTTCATGATAAGAGAATTGATTGGTAAATTAGGAAACATTTGCAGCTCCGGTGATGTCTCCGGTGGCGGCCACCATGCCCTGCCACCGTACATTGGAAGCGGTGGTGGTAATCGTAGTGCGAGTAACTCGTGTTATAGTACACCACTTAGTTCACCACCTAAGATGGGCGTGTCATTATCTAATCTTGATCATCTAGTCAATGATAAATTTCCTACCTTAGGAAATTCGGTTGGTTTGAGGTCAAATTTACCGGCAATGCCCGGTGATCCGGGTTTCGCGGAGCGAGCAGCAAGGTTTTCTTCGTTTGGTAGTCGGAGTTTCAACGGAAGAACAAGCCAGTATATTGTCAATAATAATCATAAGAGTCATAATCGTAGTAACGATAGTAATAACGAATTTATACATCGATCCAATAGTAAGTTAACAAGGGTTTTAAGTAGTCCTTCGTTGCTTAAGGAGGTTGAAAATCAAGGTGATGAAAAACTCAAGATTGAGAGAAAACAAGGTGAAATGTGTGGTAATGATCATGGTGAATTCTCTAATTCTAGAGAGAATTCGTCGGTTTCCGGGCAAAACCCGGCACCCGAAAATGGATCAACTAAGAAGAGGAAAGCCCCTGCTCCTAAAGGAAAAACAAAGGACACTCTGCCTCAATCTCCCCTACATACAAACAAAGTAAGTTCATCATCAAAAAAAAAAAAAAAATCAAATATTTTAAAAATTAGAATTTATACTTAGAATCATATTTTGATGATTGTGTTATGTTTTAGGTGTCTCAAAATGGTGAGGATTCAACAGCAAAGCGAAGCAAATCGGAAGAAGGCGGTGTTTTGAAGACAGAGGAAAACAGAGGTGATGCAAACCAAAAGCCTCCAGAAGCGCCAAAAGATTATATTCATGTTAGAGCAAGAAGGGGTCAGGCTACTGATAGTCATAGTCTTGCTGAAAGAGTAAGAATTATTAATACTTTGATTCTAATTTAGAAAGATTACTAATTTTTCATAGGTTAAGAATTTAATTATATCTTAGCATAATTAGTAATTTCCTATGATTGACTTTTTCTTAAATGTTGATGCTTACTTCAGGTTAGGAGAGAGAAAATTAGTGAAAGAATGAAACTTCTTCAAGATCTTGTACCTGGCTGTGATAAGGTGCAACTTTTTTCCATTACAATTTTCCATTGATTTTGAGAATTTATTTACCACTAAAATTAGTGAAAAAATCAAACTTTTATTTTGGAATTTTTGTTTTAGTAATCTTGAACTTGCTAATTACAGGTAACAGGAAAAGCATTAATGTTGGATGAAATTATCAACTATGTACAATCATTACAAAGACAAGTTGAGGTAAAATTTAAGGCTTAATTAACACTAATCACACTCAAATTAGATTATAATCAACTTCATTTTCCTTAAACTAATTATATTTTATTGTTTTTGTTTACTTAGTTTCTATCAATGAAATTATCATCTGTAAATCCAAGACTAGAGTTCAACATGGGAAACCTTTTCTCAAAAGATGTAAGTTCAACTTTAATTTTTCTACTATCTTTATAATTAATTCAAAAGTTAGCATATCTTTTTCTTCCACAAATTTACTTTATTATTGACTAATTTAAATTTCTTTTTGGTGGTAATTTCAGGTGATCCAACCAAACAACTCCTTGCCGCATCCAATGTACCCATTAGATTCCTTGGCACCAAGCCTTTATGGCCAACCTCATCAAAATCATCCTTTACAAGATAGCATAACCACCACGGCCCCATCTTCTATGGACCCTTCACATAATCAAAATCATCCTTTACATTTACATTCCCTTGATGCTTTCTCTAATGGTCTTCCTCAGGTAATCATTTTCCTCCTCTTTGTCACACTTATTTCCGGCTCATTATCAATTAATAAACAAACTAGGACAATAATAATTAATGAGATTTTGACCCAGTAGTTACAACTCAGGGTCTGTGTATGATGGGTCACTAATAACCAGTTGCCCGATCAACAAACCCTTTTCGTCTACATTTATCCTATACACTAGGCTAGGTTTAAATTTGGCAAAAACTCATAATTAAGCCAATACGTGTAGGATTAAAGAGTAATTATGTAGATTATGCGACTAATGAAACAATTTTGATTACACAGCTACCATCATTATGTGAGGGGGATCTTCAAAGTATTGTACAGATGAGTTATGGACAAAAGGAGAATGGATTCCAACAACAACATGGTAATTAATAATCTTTGTTACTAATAATATGTGATGATTAAAGTGTATCTATAACAATAATAATCTTTATATTAGTGCAAATTGATGTTTAATTTAACTTTATACTAATATTTTGCTAATCTTTAATTTTGTCTTGTGTAGGGTCAAATCCATCACCACTAATGAAAATTGAGTTCTAACCACCAATCATCAATCTTGAATATGATTGCCAGAAGAGAGGGAAGAAGGAGAGAGAGACAGAGAGGCTGCTTGATTGTACATACAAAAAAGAGAATTGAATTATTTCCAAGGCCATTGTCTAAATATCTAATCAAGAAAATTATTTTTCCTTTTTTTTTATCTTTTATTATTACTATTACCCTATTATTCAACATAGATTCATCTCTCCCACTCATATTTTAATTTTGTATTGTCATTAATTATTTTTTAGGTGTAGTTATATGCTTATAGTATGTATCCCTTGTAATATTCTATGATCATTATGGTGCAAAAGTCATGGATTTGCACCTCCCAATGTAACATATTAAGTTGAAGAAAGGAAAGGAAAGGAAAAAAAAAAATAGTTTTCATGTTGTTTGTGAAACTTTTGTTTTTCCACTAATCAAGTACGGGTAAACATATGCACTGTGTACTAGTACCTCTACAAGTTTTTAACATTTTGATTTTTGTCACTATTCACAAATTAACCTTTGAATATATACGTACTATTATGTATTTAAATTTATCTATGTTTTTTTTTCTTAATAAATTTTACAAATACATCATTTGAGATATTGCTAGCTATAGTCAAGATTTTATATTGTCAAGCATGAAAAGATGAATTGTTACGAACTTTTAGAATCAAAGGTAATATATTTTACCATCTCCATTACAAAAATTTAATGTTTGGATAATAATAATACTACCTCCGTTTCATAATTTTTTGCAACTTTGGAATATTTTATATCTCATAAATAATACACTAAAATTATAAAAAAATATGAAACGAAGGTAGTAAGTAAAAATCTAAATGATGGGGGTTAAAAACTTGATTTATTTACATCATGATTAGTCATAATATTTTCTTGATTTGCCTAAGATTTTAATGATGCATCAAATCGTGTTAAAGTGGTTGGTTACAACTTACAAAAGCATAATTAAATTTATGTTGTTAACCAGCTGTGATTAGTGGGGCCTTTTTCTTTATTGATTTATTTATACTAAACAATCATAAGCTTGAATAATTACAATTTTACAATGTAAGTTTTCCTGAATTATAGTCAACTCATGACTTATGTCATTTTCTTTTTTCTTTCTTTTTCATTCTGTAAAAACTTTTTACTATGTTATCCACAATAAAAAAATCAAATTAAAAAGAAGCTTCTGTTCTCTTTTTTCACTGCAATAATCAAACAAAATGTAAAACAATAATTAAAAATTAATTAAATTAATAAATAAATATCAGTATATAATTTAAATCTTATCCTATAATAAAAATCTATTAAAAAAAATAATTTATGAATTTGGAGCATCAAGAAGAATCCCAGGTTGGCAGAGCTGAGATTCTTGTCCAGACCCAATGAATGAAAACAGAAGCTTTAATTATCTCATCAATACTTTAATATGTAAATTGTTTGATTTACAATCATATTTATAAAATTACAATAACTATTTTTAAAAAATAAAGAAAAAAGTTAATTAAACTAGTGGATTTCAGCTAAAAATAAAATTAAAAAAAGATGCTTTTTTACCACCTTAAGAAATTAGAATAATGTATTTATATTAATAATGGAGAACTAGTAAAAATCCAGTTTCTTGGGTTTAACAAAAGATTACTCAATTGCAGCCTTTAGCAATTATTTAAAATAAGAACAGTATTATTGGCCTGCCATGGCAGAGTTTTTAGATTAAATTATGTGAAAGATGCTTTGAATTTGTTGGGGTTTAATAATTTAATTAAATTTTTAACAAAAAGGGGTTAATTAATGGAAGAGTTCGGTTTAATAATAATTATATTAAAAAGAAAGGGGAGTAATAGTAATAATGTTTCAGGTGACAGCCTTGTGTTGATTGGTTTATAAACCAAACCAATCATTTAGTAAAACCGTGTCTGACATTTAATGCATATTATAATCCTATGACTTTAATACTTGTCTTCCTTTTTAGCTCTATTAATCTTAATGGTGAAGGAGTGAGTAATTTGACATGCATGAATGTATCATCTATGTGACTATGTATTATTGATCATTTAAATCTTCAAATCTTTGGTTATTTGTGGTGTATGCACATTTTCTTTCTTATTATATCTATTTTATGGAAAATCATAATCATATTCTTGCATGTATGAGAAGCTCAAAATACAATTCGTTTAGTACGAAATTGGTTTTATTTGTCGCTTTTTTAATAATTGAAATATGTGTTTGACTTTTGCAAGTAATTATCAAATGGAGTTACATATACTTTCTCCGTTTGTAATTACTTGCAACACAGCCTTGTGGTACGCTATTTGAGGTCGAGATTATATAATGTAAACGGACAAATTATTCAATATAATTTTTTAACCGTACTCTAATCCTTGTGTTAAAATTATTTTGATATAAATTGCTCGTTTTACTTTCACTAATCATCTCCTAAAACTGTGTACCTAAAAGCTAGGTGTGTTGCAAGTAAAAAAAAAATAGAGGAAGTATTTGCTACGAAGTATGAAATTACTTATATTGCACAATTGTTGACTAAGTTCACTCTCCCTTCTTTATTCATTCTTAATCCTTGAATTTCTTTCTTTTATCATCTAATAATCACCCTTAGCACAGAGGTACATCCGTACGTGATAGAGTATAAAATATATTTCTGAACTACAACCATCATTTTAAACTTTTGGTTGAGATGATCCACTAACATGGTATTAGAGTCAGCGTGACACAAAGGTCACAGGTTCGAATCTCATCCACCCCTCCTTTTAAAGTGGAATATTAAGCGCAAGTTATGAGGAGGGTCCATGTTGCATCCACACTTTACTCGTGGGTGTGATAGAGTATAAAACATATTTCTGGGCTTCTAGATCGATATATAGATTAATAATTCTAATGGCATTATGTGTAAGTCTTCACCCTAACCGTCCCTTTTAACTCAAGGTTAATTATGAATACCTAATATAACAAAATTAGGTATCCAAATAATGTACATTGTCATTTACGTAGTATATGTTTAATAGATTAGTACTCCATATAAAAACAGTATCATTATATTTGTATCAAATTAGAGTCACAAAGCATTATTGTTTTGTACTTTGTACTTCTATTATTTTGATAAACAACATTAATTATAAAGTCTATGAATTATTGCTCATAATGTTTTGCAGAGGCTTTAACTGATTGTCTACAATGTCTTTGACAAATTTTGTGGTTATTCACAAACTTGTTTATAAAGCCAATTAAGTTGTTTCTCAATCTTATAACGTGTTTAATATATCTCATCATCTCCAATTTGAAACTACGTACTCATACATAACATTCGTTTATAAGCCGATTAGTCCAATAACAAGCCAATTAGTTCAATAACGGTTACAAGTTAGATTTCCTTCACTTAAATAATTAAGAGTAACCCTTAAGAAAGGGTTTCTTAATCTTACCGTACCCTTCAAATCTTATACTCATAAAAAGTTATGGTCTTCCTATAATAAAATATTTGCTCCTTCATCTAATACGAAGTACTATCGATGCTGCCTTGTTAACTTGCGGTTTCATTTCCTTATTTCAGCCGCAAAAAAAATTCATGAATTTGATTTGTTACGCCAGAGACCTCGAATACAGTGATAAACTACCCATAACAATTGAAAAATAAAACAAGATTAATTATAATATAAACGATAATTAAACCATGCAGTCCTCTTGTAATAATCAATTAAGTATTCTAATAAATTTTAGCGGGTAAATAGTACGTTATCACTTAATCACTTATCACTATTTCTCTTGGATTAGTCTTTTTAGAATAATTTTAACTTTGGATCAATTTGATGGTAGAGAAGACTACAAAGAGGGGAATTGTCGGATTAGTTTTTTAAAGTATCGATCATTTAAGACATATTTGATTAGACAGATTCTATTATGGAATCGATTGTAATGAGTTAATCAAAAGTTGAGAATTTAAAATAGTAACAACAAAAAGTCTGTCCATCGATCTCTATTGTTGGTTGAGATTATTCATGTTAATTTTTCTTCTAGTTCTTATCTTATTTACAAGGTTGAGCTACTTGTAATATGATTAAGATTTTCCATAAAAAAAAAATAATAATAATAAATAAATAAAAAAAGGGACATTTTGAATTGTCTTTTTCATGTTAGATTATGTTTAACATGAAAGTTGAAAACCATCAACCAGCAGCACAACAAAGAAATGATTAACAGTCGTAGTTGAAGAAACCTTTGCCTTTGCCTGCCTGCCTGCTGTAAAGACCTACTTTGTATTAATTAAAACTTAACTATAAATTTAATAATAAAAACACTAATTTTTGTTTGAAGAAGGGTTTGCGACACGAATAATACCTACTATATATGGTTGGCAAGAGCATGCAGTAAAGTTTGAAAATTATGAAATTTTATTAAATTATCTCTAAGTTAGCTTATCATAAGTTGATGTCTAATTGCTTATTATTATGATCTTATTATAGTAAGTGTAGTCAAATCTTATGATAATAGAGTTACACGTGAAACAAAATGGACCGTAACTTGTAATTTGTGGTCATTTTTATGCTAATGAACTTACCTTAGGCGGCTTAAATTGGAGGTTTATGGCTTAGCTTTTAGCTAATTTTATAGCCCGCCATTGACAATGTAGGTATAGATAGAATTGATTTAGGGGAGTGGGCACTTGGCCGAGTTAATTTTGTTATCTTGATAGTTTTTCATGCGTTAACAATTCAATTTTGTCAAGACTTATTTTAAAAATAGTTGTTGCATTATTCAACCTCATCTTATTACATAATAAACTATGTATCGATTTTATACCACTCCTATCCAGGGGCGGACTTGGCCTTATGCCTGGAGGGTCAAATGACTCACTAGGGCCCAAAAAATTTTTTAAGGTTTTTTTTTTAAAAAAAAAAAAAAATAAATAAATTATTAGTCTGTTAATTTTAGTCTTGTCAATTTTAAACTTGTTAATTATTAGTTAGTATTGTAATCTTGCCAATTTTCTATTTGGATGATCTTTGTAAATAATTTTTCTTGGGAATTTTGGTAAAAATTTTTTTTTTACATATTTGGTTATCGATTGTGACTCACCAGTCGGAAATTCCTAGTTCCACCACTAAGTCCTATCCATATTAGTCTATCAACCATTTATTATTTTGTAAAGGGATAAAAGAAAGTACTTGTATAATATTATCCATTCAAAGTAAAAGAAGGAAACGGTAAAGGATGAAAAAAGTTGCGAGCGTCATTTGGAGTGTAGACCGTGCACAAAAAGCTACGATATTCGGGGAAGAATAATAAGCTTTTAGAAGTTGGAAAACCACGACTTCCTTTCCGCTAACATAAAAAAGATTCTGACTATTTTATAAAGTCGTTGACACACTTAATTTCAAGTGCCAATCCAAGGCAGAAATTAAAGTTTGGAAAATTACATGCAATATATTTTCCAAAGTTATATCTTTATGAACAAGGTTAGGATATAACTATATAAGAATCTATCTATACATTAAAAGAGAAGAAAAAAAAAACATTAAATATTTATACGTTTGTCAATATATAGACCGTTAATATTTTCTTATCAATAATAATAATAATATTAATAATAATAATAATAATAATAAGTAGTCATTATGTTTATCTTTGGGGGACTTAATCTAAAGTTCATCTAGAACACTATTGATGGGATGTTCAAGTGTTGGATCTTGGATGAGTTAGCAAGAATGATAATATTTAACACATGTAGATCTAGCATTTGAGAGCTTTATTTGTCTTAATGTATTATGTATACTATGAGTCTATGACTTAAGAGTCTTCACAACTAATTGAGAAGTGACATTTTGATTGAGGCTCTTAAATAAGTTTTCAACTAACTAACATCATTGATGAAGATTGGAGTTCAAAAATGATTTTCTTAAACAAATATTGGGTTCTAACATTAGAGAAAACAAAGCAGATACAAAAACTTTATGAGATCCAAATGAAGTCTCACACTCGTTGTTAGTGATAATTCTACATACTGCGTCTAAATGTTTTCCAAACAAACTAAATGACATTCACATTAGATAAATTAAAAGGAATACATGCAACCAGAGCATTCTCTTGGATATCAAACGATTCAAATTCATATACAAGTATATTAATTTCCATGCAACAGAGTATCAAAAATTGCATATTCTAGGAGAACCGTTGTTCATTGAAGAAAGTTGAAGTAAGAAAGTTGAAGTACATCTTGATTCCATTACCAATCAGGATAAATTTGTTTCATATACGTAGTATCTAGTTCTGTCACTATCATCCGTATTCATATAGATAGTAGATTTTGACTAGTTAAAGACTTATAGTCTCTTAAAATTTGTATCAAAGACTTGCATGCACCATTCAAAAATCTTGTACTTTGTTAAACAAGTTCAAACAAGGAGTAGAGTTCGGTCCACTTATAAGCCCAAAGGAGGTTTAAGAGGTGTTACCTTCTCTGTTCTCTCCCTCTCTCTAATGAAGAACAATCACAAGCGCACTATAATGGGGTTTCAACCTACATCATGTGTACATTTCATAGCAACATCGCTATGCAATCTATTTATCTTGAACATTGTATGTAGCTCTTTAAATGGGTGTACTTGTTAGATCATACATTCATGCGGCAAATTTACTCATAGGTTGTGTATCTAATGACCCGACCCAAAATCACTCTGTCATATTAGTAATCAATAATTCAATATATTTGGTTGCAAATATCAATATGATTGGACTATGATTCTATGAATATAATGTAAAAAGCCAATATGATAGATTTACTAAAAACATACGAATTAGAAAGCAACAACTGTCCAAATTCAAATTCAAACAAAGTAGTACTTCGTATAATCTTGATATGTCCTAGCATATAAATCAATAAGTCATATCTCTTTATTAACCTAATTGAATAGCATAACTTTTTTGACCTTTCTTCTGATTAAAGTTTCATGCATTTCTGCTTAATCATCTGGAAGTATTAAGCATATTGTTCAGTTATAGTCATTTCAAGGGCATTAATCACCCACATTAAAAGAAAAGCATTCTGACTAACATAAGAAAATATTACTCGTACAACTTTACCAATAGCATGCATGCATGCATTCATATCTGATATCTAGCTCCAATGGATGAAAAGTTATATTCAAGCTATTAATAATTGTACATTCACCACCACCATCATATATCTAGACAGAGACGACAACAATAGTATTTTGTACAACGAGTGCATTCATGTGTGTAATAGGATTTAAAACATTTAATCACCCAAAATCACATAAAAGTAGACTCTTTAATTGTCAAGATAACAAAACTTATTGTCGTCTATTGTATACTGTACATCCGTTGTAAATATACAAGTTTTTGTTTGAGAGTGACGTTTGGAAAGAAGAAGAAGAAGAAGAAGAAGGGAAAAAAAAAAACCGCATATGTATGCATGAATCAAGTTGTAATGTAATTGTCTTAATTAGAACCTGGAAAATTAAATTCATGTCATCTCAAGAAGACAGTACAAAGCTTGAAGTCTCCGCAACATAAAAGTGAGAAATTACTTTTATCAGCAAATAGCATCAAAGAGAGATCTAAATATAGCAGGGCAGAGATTGAGACCCTACATTAATCTACACATCCAAGTTTTGGTGGAGTCTAATTTATGTTCATTGATATGTCACATATTTGGGGTTAAAATTTTTCGAGTGTAACAACTCTTACTATAAGTCTATAATATCGACAATGTCGTGTTACTTTCGAAGAATCGACCACTACATACTTCATATACAAGTACTTTGTTATCCATAGTCATTTTCAATTTTGGAAATTTCATGGCCGGTATGTTACACGATTGTAAGAAGATAACACCATAACAACGACGAATTGTGTTATTTGACATTCACCCTACCTTTTTCGAAGTCTAATCAATTAATCCTTCCTTTTATTGTGTCTTTCCCATTCACGATATGTCCTGTTAGCATCTTGTATATGGGTTTAGGCACGTTTCTTGTGCAGTACAGAATATGAAAGTGGGGTTAAATCCATCAAGTTATTCACCAAACTTAGGCATTTTATGCTCTCCGACTATAATCTGCTAGTTACATCAATGTTTTCTGCAATTTAAAGCTTCCCTTTTACCTTTTTCTTAAAGTCAATAAGTTCAATTGAGTTTCTGGCTTTAGACCTGCCATGCAATCCCCTAAACCCTAAAATCTAAAAATTCCCTTCAATTATCGAAATCCTGTTCTCTTAATAGTATCTTTGTTTTGGATACTTTTCATACTTACTGCTGTTTGAAAATTCTTTGCTGTTGCAATATGGATAATAAAAATGTACTTCATATGTAATATTTAGGCTACGGCTCTAAATATCTTAGAGGCAAACTTGTCGTTTTGATTGAGCTCGGCTTACATTATGATCAACTAATGAGTCACCCGATCTAGATTTGGGTTTATGTTTATATTAAGGTCATTTGGGAGTCATATGTGCATTAGTTGCAGTGACAAAGCCAAAACAAAATCTTGACCAGGGCTAAAATGTTGCAATGGTTGACAGTCACATGCTTTGAATGTCACAAGTTGGCAAATTCATGTATATAACCATTTAGGGCATTTACCACAAAACAATCATATAATTTTCTAAAAGTATAACAAGGACCAAGGCCACTTTAGGTCTCATTTGCCCCCCAACCCTGATTTATTGTCAATCAACTTATTATGGTAGCCCAATACTCTAATAATTAAGGCATGTTTTGTTCGCCTTATTTTCACTTATTTTAGGTGTAATTCGGTTTAGAAAAAATAAGTTCAGATAAGGATTATCCAAATACATATTACAACTAAAATAAATTTTAATAAGGCCTATTCGTTTAGTCGTTTAGATAATTTCAAATTAATTCAAATAAAATAAGTTCTAATAGTTTAAAATTAGGTGAATAGAATATACCCTTAAACATATTTTTATTTCATGTTAGTTTAAATCAAAATCAAGTCTTATTATGTGGACCATAGACAAACTTTGGGTTTTGTGGCTAAGTTTAGTAATTTTGGTCGTGTTTTGGTACATCAATAGTAGAATTTCAACTTCCTTTTGATGTATGTAGACTATGTACATCCCTTCTACAGTTCTTCTCTCATTTTCGGCAATCAAGATCCTGGATTTCAAAATATTTAACCACTTCTCAAATTCATTCCTCATGCTTATATTTGTTCTATGCACTTTTACATTATTACTTTTTGGTAATATTTTCCATCTTACGTTCTTACCCTCTAATTTTCTATCATCCCACAAATTTGCTTTATGGAACACATAAAGTATACCTTAGTCTTTATCTCTCCGTAGAAATTCACATGTAGAAACATACCACATACTCTGTACTAGACAGGTACTTGTAGTATTTCCTCATTGTTTTAATAAATGTTACAGTTTGATCAAATACGCATGTCGAGACACGACTTTGGCCATTAATTTATCTAATAAATGTTTGTAAAACTATAGGAAAATTGATATTATCAAAGTATACATTATAATGAATCCAACAGTATATTATACAATAATATTTGTTTTTTAAATATTAGTAAACTAATCAAGTCAAAACAATTATGTGAATAGTGAAAAATCAAAGCGTAACACTTATTTAAACACGGAGGGGATAGTTTTTTTTACTTAACATGATTTCTTTTTGGCACATTTGCTAACATATACTAAAAAAATTATCAAAAGTTAACTAGAAAGTATGTACATTGAAATTGATCCAACAAGTTTATTACTATATTTCTTTATGCTTATATGGGTTTATAAATTAAAATACACCTTCAAAGTAAGTACTCTGTCTAAATAATGTAAAGGTCAAAACAGGTGAAACAGTTGAACAGTGAATATGTGAAATAAAGAGGAAAAAGTTGATTTGCAAGTTACATACTCCGCATTTCCTTGACATAATCTACATTACGAGTTTCATTCTTCATATATGGTGTGAAAGGTTATATGGCAGCTATTGCCAGAAGCACATTCAAAGGATATAGCGAAACGATCAGGTACAAGACATACAACATAACAAGAAGAATTTCTAATAGAACACATTAGGCACCATAAATGGCTTTACTTTTGTCTAACATAAGATAGATTTATGGCATTTGGTTGTATCACAGCAAAATCCAGTTATAAGGCCTTTACATGAAAATCTTGTAGATGTATAATGTAGCAATATTTTCATCAATGGTACTAAAAGAATCTAGGAATTTCCTGGTTATCTTGTAGACTGCATGATGAAGATACAACAGTTAAACAAGTCCCATACTAATTAATATTTATCTTAGATGAAAAAACTAAATGAGCTTTTTGATAAGATTCAATGACCACAGCAATACAGCATACAGACCTTAAGTGAACTTTTGTTGGTACCGAATCTGCATTCTACAGCATACTACCTCAAGAGATCTATCTGGTTCGTGATTTTGCAAATTTGGGTCTTGAAGCTTTCCTTTCCATCTTTTCCCTTTTCTTACGCGTCTTTTCATCCTCCTCTTCTCCCTGCAAACAAGTTTTCACAGAGGAAAGAAAAAGAGATTGTTATTCCCCATTGACATACAATCTCATAGTAATTAAGAAGAATAGAAATAAAATGGTATAGATGTAAAACATCATAGCGTTATTTAAATGGGCGCGACCTTGGGTGAAAATAACTCTGGACAGAGGAAGTACATAATCTACTGTTATTACACAAATAATATACCAATGCTGAAAACTGCATAGAAGGGAAGGTACCTCAGAATTGTGTGACAGGAAGCCTTTGATGAAGCCAGAAGCTTTATAAGCTGCAAATCCTGGTATCTAAATGGAAAAATGGCAAAGTTGCTTAGAAAGGATATATTGTGACAAATTACAAATAAACTGTCTATGAATTACACAAAAGCTATATATGAAACTCCTGAAACAGGGAATAAGCTACTATGTTGATAGATTTTAAACTTTGTTGAAGCATAATTACTCAAGTTACTATGTCACAGAAAACAGCCAAACTTTAATCTGACATAAGCCATGGAAAAATGACTTTACTTTTTCATCTCAGGTTCCATATTCGTCACAAACAAAATCAGCATCAAATGAATCCTTTAAGAGTCAATATCGACTTAATTCTAAAAGATTTCTCCTTGTTGAAGTTCCCCTTTCTTTTCAACTTATGTTCTTTAATGACAGAATGACGTGTTTATACTCACAAAACTTTCATAAACTTTAGCCATTTTAAAGAGATGCACACAATCTACGCGATCACTATTAACATAGGTAAAAACAAAAAACTTCTGGGTCACTTCAGTCTCCATTCCAAGATATGTTGATATGAAAACAAAACAATTGTTCTAAACTTGCATAAACTGAAATTCACAACACCACTATTAACATCAATAATGTATTACGGAAACTCTGAAAGCCACTAGTCCAAGACATAAACCCAAATTTCTCATCACAAAATTTTATCCAAAAGTTTGGGTATACCACCAAAAAGGGTCCCTTAATTATCTATGTACATCCAAAACAGGTAAAAAATTATTTATCAATATACACTGAGAAACATCAATCAATTTGCAAGAAAAAGATTAGGTTTGAGTGTTGAGAGAAGACGGACCTAATTGTATTAATGTATTTTTCTTTCTGAAAAAAAAAATTAAAAAATAAAAACAAAAATTGTTTGCAAGATGCCAAGAATCATCCAATTTTGTCACTTTTTGTCTGATCAGAAACAGTACATGCTAATTCTCCATAAAGACCATGCAGTATATCTGAATACAAACACCAAATTATTTCTCTTCTATGTTTTTACATCCCTAAAGCAATTCATTTAGCTAAATAGAGCTTTAGTCAGATACCACTAATCCTTTCATAGACTGCTACAAGCCCACGACTAGCAAAGCGAAATAAGACCTCTAAATGAACCCAACTCCGGTGAAGAAATTATTTATGCTGAAGACAGACAAAGAACTGCAATACATTCTTTGCACATCCCGAGACCATGAGCATCAAGTGAGAGAAATTTTTTGACATTGTGCTTAAGTTTATCATCATGTATGCTCCTGAAATCTTTCAAATTGAATGCAGTTGTATTTGGCTGAGTATTTCAGTTGACATGAGTGATAAATCATGTCAGAGTCAGGAGTAAGGGCCTGTAATATACCCACCAAACCACAGGGTGGAAGGGGTGGGTTTTTGTGTGTGTGTGTGTGTGTGTGTGGTGAAGCTGTGGGGCAAGCCCACAGGGTAGAAAGGGTGGTGCATGCTGAACCTTTTGGTCACAGAGTCATGAAACTTATATTGCCTAGGAGCTGAACTAGCGTGACCACACAAAAAACAAAAAAAAATAAAAAAAAAAATAAAAAAAGAAAGAAAGAAAGATTTCTTGTCTTTATAATTTGAGTCCTTTGAGAGAACTCATATGCTCCATTGAGTGGGAAACAGCCTTCTTAAAAACTGATCACATAATAATTCAGTCTACAATGATGTCATTTACAGTGTGTTTGGACATAGAAGGGGAGGGAGGGGAGTGAAAAATGATGAGTTTTTCCTTCCAAATCTCTCAATTGTTGGAGGAATCAATTTCTTACAATTTAATCCCTCCGTTTTTCTCCCCTCCAATTCTCTTTTCTTCCCTTCCTTTCCCTCCATTTCCTTCAATCCAAAATATTTATTCAAAGCTAAGGAAAAAAGGCCTAATCAATTAGCCATGATGAAATACGGTGTACAAGACTTGAATAATACAAAATCTTTTAGATGATAGGATTCCTACATCAAAATTTCCTTTCATACAGCACTATTGTAAACATAGCTTAAACAATGCCAGATCTGAAATTTTGAAGCTGCCCAGCACATACCACACTAATAATTCCTAAAATAACAAGATGCCCCAAGCTATGTCTATCAATATCAAGGTTTAAACAGATCAAGAAATATAAGGAGCTTAGTGAATTCTCTGAAGCACAAAAACACAAGAATGAGAAAACTTTGATTTCTACCACCTCCCTCCAAAACACATTAACAGAGACACACATAATGCACATACAAAAGGCAGGGCAATAGGGCTTACCACTAAATATGCATACCAAAATTTGTCGGAGATGAGTGAGGCAATCTGAATGAAACTTGTAATGTAGATTATGTCATGCAAATACCTGAAATGCATAGTGAATGTTTATTTCAGGAAAAGTCCCTTTTCAAAATTTGGAACTAGGTTATTTAGCAAAGATAAGAAAAATCGAAAAGCCATTTTGTTACATCACAAACAGGAATTTTATCTAGTCATTTGTACAGAAAATTATGGAAATTAGATTGTAAACATAGCACCATAGCGCACTTCATTACTTTTTCTTTTTTTTTTGTTGGGGGGCGGGGGGGGGGGGGGGGGTACAAGAACAAGAAGAAAAGGCAAACGGTATTAAACTGAGAAATGAAGACATACTGTAACCATACCCACAAACTCCTCCGGTGCTCATATCAAAACCACCATCAATAAGCTCGCCATCATTTGTGTAGGCTGGTTTGGCCATACTAGCAAGTTGTTTATAAGGCATTGCATAGGCCAAAGATGTCAATATCAAGCCAATCCAGTGCTTCCATGTGAAAGAAGAATAATAAAAAACCATCCTCACCAAAATGTAAGCAACCTGGATGATGAGAACTATATTTGTCAGATTATTGCATCAACAATTCTTTCCCTTACTTCAATAATGGATCAACAGCAAAACTCAAATGAAAGCATTGAATGAATAACTAAACAAGTAATCAAGAGACAAAGCTCCACAAAAGAACGAGGTACAGGCTTTACAACCGAGAAGGGGAAGAGGTAGGGCATACACAAAAGGATAATGTCTAGTGTAATGGATTCTGCACTTTGGTCTCATACGCACAAGCAGAAAAGAATGATAATTTAAGGGAAAGATTAGTTCTTTAATTAAAACTGAAGTGGTGGCTTACAAAATTAGTAGCTTGAGGCTACAACTCTCTCTGTCCTCCTCCCCATTTATTTACATTCGACACATTCCCTAAGTAACAAAACACTATTCAATACCTACCTACTACCTCTACCCTCCTCATTTGTTCACATTCGACACATTTCCTAGGATGATTATAGTCGTTGTCTTGTTTTACACAAATAGCTGCAGTTCCAGCTCATTCCTCCAGATGATCTGGTTTTTTCTTCTTCCTCTTCTGGCATATTGAATGAACACAGGTGGTCTTCCCTGAATTTTTATATCTAGAGACAGCAAAAAGGTACGAATTGGAGAAGGGGAAAAAAATAATTTCTGAGGCTGAGGACTACGTAGATAAGGTATCTACTGATGAAGTGCAGTTATAACCATTGTAAGTTTACACAAAGCTTTTCATTCTAACAATAAGTACTAACCCATAACCCCTGCTGAACCATTGATGCACTAGCTTAACATGAGTTGGACAAGGTGAGTTTATATCATAGCTAAAGTCTCACAATATTGATATATAATTCTAATTGCTAGTAACACCACATTTTGGGAAGATAATTTCAGGACTGAGTGTAGTGTGAAATTTTAACTCAAGTCGAAAGCTTTCCTAGCAGGGTGAAACACCAAAAAACTAAAAGTCCACTGCACCAAAGGTTTCATCATGAAAAGGCGAAGCTCCCTAAAATCAAATTGCTCTTCAGAACACTAATGAAGAGTTAGCCCGCGTGTGTAGGAAAAGTAGTTCTAGCGAGAAAAATTGAATCAACCAAACAACGATGTGACAAAAAACAACCAGACTGAAATATAACGAGTATGAGGAACCATGAAGCATGGCATTTCAAGCAATGCTACAGTCATTGTCAATCAACACCTCGAAATGAAAGGAACTTCTTGAAAGGCAATAAAAGGAGAGATTCAAGCACAAACGGCAGGTTGTAAATTTGATGACTCTCAATAATATTGATAGAAGGCTCATTATATAACAAGTTCAGCTTCGATTTACAGCTAAAATAAGTTCAATTATGTTAAATTACAGATGAATAGGACAAACCCTTAATACTGATTAACCATGAGATAAAGAATTTGCCAAAAATGAAAATATTAAATCCAAACAATTAATGATTGCTTCTAATCACAACATCTACAATTAATGGTAAAAAAAAAACAATCTAAAACAAGAAAAATTCTTTAAAAAAAAATTAAAAAAAAAAAAGGAATTTGGAATTTACATTACACCCAATAATCAGGCGAAGAAGATTTGACATATGACGAGCATTCTCTTCCTTTCTCTTCTTAGCACCCTGGTTTGCCATATCTCTTGGAAATCCTAAAACACAAATCAGATACAAAATTCACAAACCCAGATTACATAAATTCTTCAATGGCAGATCCAAAGTTTGTCATATGATTTAAAGCAACACAAAAACAAGTTGAATGGTTCATAATTTTTATCGAAAATAATCTGAATTCAAAAATTTTGAATTAAGCAATGAAAGAAAGAAATTAAGACTAGTATAATCTACCTGAAGAGATAGTTCAATTCGATTTCTGGGAAAAGTTGAACACTTGAAAATTGGTTAATTACAAAGACTACCACCTCTTTGCGTCGGGTTTTCTTGCTCTACTCGCTTGCTCCGAATTTCAATGCCTGTAGTCTGTAGAGTTTTGTTTTTTCCGGAAAAATTTGTCAATTACTATTTCTAAAAAAAAAAATTAAAAAAAAAAACATTTTAATATTTACCCTAAAATCATCCCCATTAGACCACTTTCAATGGTGAGCAAAAACAAATGTCCACCCACTATCTCTCTCAACAAATCTGTTTTGTCCATGGGCAAATTTTTTTCACAATTTCTCTTCCAATGGTGAGCGAAAAAAAAAAAATGCTTGCCCACTACTCTCTCTCTTACTTTTTCAATACCCCATCATTACTTTCTCTCTCCTACACAACACTTCTTTATTTATTAATTTCATTTATATTTTAACAATATTACTCTAAATAAATAAAAACTAGTCTAAATTTATGTTACTTATTTTTTTTTATTTGTGTCGTTTTTATCGTTAAAATAAAGAATATGGAGGATTTATGATATTTCTGAAATTATACCAAAATGAATGTCTATTTATAGAGAATTAAATTTTAGGGTATTTTCATTTTTACCACCTTCAAATAATGACTTTGTCGAATTTACCACCTCCAAAAAAAAACATTTACTTTACCACCTCATAAAAAAATTAAACATCAGTTTTACCACCTCATCTGAGCTCAGGTGACGGAAAACGCTTGTGGGGCCCAGTTAACTGTCACTTCCCTCCAATTTAATTCTTTTAAAATCGATTTCCCTCTGTCTCCTCCTTTTCTCACCTTCCACCTTCCATAATCAATGTCTCACCAAATTTCTCACTTCCTCATCAATTTTCGTCTCTCTCTCCTTTGATTTTTCTTGATTCTCACTGTAACTGCTTCTCTCTCCTTTGATTTTTCTCTTTCTCTCTGTAAAAACTGAAACCCTAGATCAATTTGGGTGGTTGAAATCGAGCTGGAACCACAAAATTGCAACACATCAGCTTCTCTTGTCATCTTCCACAGTATGAGGGGACCAAAAGCTTGGTAATTTGCTGACAGAAATCGAGATTCCTGACTACAAGAGGTACTTTAAACCCTTTATTAGTACATTTCGTTGGATTTATGGTTGTCAATTGGGGTAAAGTATGCCTTTTTTGGGAATCTGTGAATTAAAGTATTATAAACCCTAATTATGCGAATCTTTGACTGAATTAGAGTGTGCATTTGTTAAATAATTAGTTAATTAGATTTACTTGTTTACTGTTAATTTAGTGCATAGTCAATGTGAATTGCTTTTACTTGCTGTAATTGGTGAATTGGTTGTTGTTGTTTACTGTAATTACTGAAATTGGTTATTGTTGTGTGTGCTTTTGTTGGTGTTGTTACAGAATGGACACAGTGGACTTAAAAATTACAGTAGGGGGTGCCTTTATACCTTCTTTAGCTGGTAAAAATAGAAGGGTGTTAACTTGGGATGGTGGGTGGGTTTATTGGATGAGAAAAGTGGAAAAAAATAAGATAGATGTACACTTTTTGAGGCAAGCAGCTATACATGGGTTTGTGTATGTGAATGTGAAGGTTCCTAGGGGGTTTAGTTGCTGGTATAAACAAAAGGGCAAGTCTTGGGTGAATGGTAAAAGGGAGCTTGTTGATGGTGAGGTGAATGGTTTCCTAGAGTCTGTGAACAAAGAGGGGGCATGTGAGATGTATGTTACCAGTCATGAGCCAATTGAAGGGACTAACAAAACACCCTTCAAATGTATAGCTGGGAATGAGCTAACCCCTGCACAAAGGAAGGAACTGAAAAAGAGGTTTGGTGGGCCTAAAGTATATAAACCCAGCCCAGAACTTAGTAAGCCCACTGAAGAAGAGCCATTTAGGAGAAGCCCTAGGTTAAAAGGCATTGTTATACATGACAGAGAGGCTGAGGAGAGGCTTCCTAGGGCAGAGAAAGTGAATGCTAATACACATAAAGGGAAAGGTAAACTCACTGCTGCAGATAAGGGTAAGGCTAAGGTTGGGGATGAGACTGGAAATTTTGCTAATTTAGTGAGAAAAATAAAAGAAAGAGTGAGGAGCTTAAGGGATGACAGTGATGTGTTTAGTGATGAGGATGGTGATACAGAGTCTTCTGATTCTGAGTTGAGTGATTTTGAGTTAGAAGTTGATGAGGGAGAGGAGGACTTATACTCTGATGATGATGAACAGTGGTTGAAGAAAAATTTAGACCATATTAACAGTGAGGTGAAAGGCAGTTTGAGGGGAGTTACTGAAGGAGGGGATCAAAGTGATGATGAGGACACAGGGTTTGACATAGAAAGAAATCTACAGAAAATTGAAGTGAGGGTTGAAGAGGAGGCAACTTGTGATTCTGATGAGCTAAAGACTGTGGAAGGTGATTCAGATGATGATCAGGGTAGTGTTACTTGGTTTAACCCTGAGACAGACTTTGAAAGGGCTATCAAATTTGTAGTTGGTCAAAGGTTCAGTGATGTGCAAACAATGAGAAAAGCTTTGAAACAACATGCAATTGAAAATAGGTATGAGTATTACCTCCTTCACAATGATTCAAAGAGGCTAACAGCATATTGCAAAAGGAAATGCAAGTGTGTGTATAACAAGAACAGTTGTAGGATAGTGAAGTGTACATGTAGTAAGGGTGTTAGGTGTAGGTTCAAGTTTTATGCAACAAGGCTTGTGAAATCAGAGGCTTGGCAAATTAAGACACTAAGGCTGAAGCATAGGTGTGTTAGGAGTAAAATGAACAACAAGGTGACAGCAGAGTTCCTTGCTGACAGGTACTTGGAGGAGTTCAGGGGCAACCCCAGATAGAAGATTAAACAGATTCAGGACAGGGCCTTGAATGACTTGGGGATCAAAATTACATACTCCAAGGCTTGGTTGGCTAGAAGCAGGGCAAAGCTTATAATATATGGCTCTTCATCAGAGCAATACTCAAAGGTTTGGGACTATGGGAAGGCACTGCTGAAATGGAACCCAGGGAGTGAGTGTAATGTGGTGGTGGATGATATTAATCAAATTGAAAGACCAATTTTTATGAGGATGTTTGTGTGCTTAGCTGCACTTAGGGATGGATTCATTTCTGGTTGCAGACCAGTAATTGGGGTGGATGGGTGCCATCTAAAAGGGGCATACCCTGGGCAGATCTTGGTTGCAGTTGGAAAAGATGGCAATAATTCCATCTTCCCAATTGCTTGGGCAACTGCAGAGATTGAGAACAAGGACAGCTGGTGCTGGTTTCTGGAGAGCTTGCTCAAGGCACTTTGTGTGTATGACCAAGGAGATGGCTTGACTTTTATATCTGACAGACAGAAAGTAAGTGGGTTGTGTTTGTGTTTAAATTACTTTGCTTTATTTGAATTTTCTGTACACTAACTTGTTAGTTTTGCCTTGTGTGTAGGGTCTCATAGAAGCATTTGCAGATGTGGCCCCCAAAGCTGAGCTCAGATTTTGTGTGAGGCATATTTGGTCAAATTTCAAACTGAAATTTCATGGTGCAACTTTCAAGGAATTGTTCTGGGTTGCTGCTAGGGCAAGCACTCTGGTAAGCTTCTATTTAGGTTCTTTTATGTCAGTTTTATGGTGAATTATAATGTATGCTAGGAACATTTAGTTTTGCACATATTTGCATGTCTTTCTATTTTGTGAAAACTGTATGCCATGTGTCTATGTTGTGTTGAATGGTTGACATGTGTGTGGTTGTATCAGTTTGAGTTTGAAGTTGCTATGGAAAGTATCAATTTTTTGGATGAAGAAGCATACCAGTGGTTGTCAAACATTGACCCCCAGCACTGGTCAAGGCATGCTTTCTCTACAAACTGCAAGTCTAACATGTTGTTAAATGGGAGTTGACAGGAATACCTTGTGTCCATGCATTTGCTTGCATAATGGACAAAAGGGATGATCCTGAGTTGTATGTGCACCCACATTACTATAGGGTGACATACTTGGCTGCATATGAGAACCCAATACAGCCAATGCCTGGCCCTAAGAATTGGGAAAAGGTCAAGCTCAGACAGCCTTTGCCACCTATGCTGAAAGTGCAGCCATGAAGACCTAAGGCAAAAAAGAGAAAGCTTGAACCAGGGGAGGGCACTTCTGCAGCACCTGAGGGCAAGAAGCCAAAGGTGATGAAACAATGCAAGAACTGTGGTGGGTTTGGCCACTTTGCCAAAACATGCAAGGCTGAAGCAGCACCAGAACAGCCTAACCCACCTGCAACAAATCCAAAGGGTGGGAGGCCACAGATGCAGACTCCTTGGCTTAAGGAACAGAGAAAGAAAAGTGAAGAGAAAGCAGCAAGACAGGTATTTTGTGTATTTTGTGACTTGAGTGTATTTAGTGGCTTTGTTTCTGAGTCTTGTCATACTGTGATTGCAGGCTGCACTGAAGTTGCCACAATATCAGCCTCCAACAACAGCACAGGCTGGGTCAAGTAATGCTGCACCTGCAACTGCTGTGTCAAGCCAGCCTGCAACAAGAACAGAGCCTTTGCCAACTCAGTCTGTTACCAGGAGCAACAGGAGCCTGAGTCAGCCCACAAGAGTGCCAACAACTACTCCTCCCAAAGTCAAAATACAGACCAGGTCCAAGCTTCATGTAATGACAAGCAAGAAGGACAAGGATCTCAATCAACTGTGACCCTGGGTCTACTCATTAGTATTTTGTAATAGACAACCAAGTTTATTTGGTAGTTGAACAATGATTTTGCACAAAGGTGCCTTAACTTTTGTCTCAGCCAATGTAAAACAATTAAAAACATTGTGTTGCAAGTACTAATACGAAATGTGATATGTTTCTACCAAAAAGTTCCATTTCTCATTGATTTTGTTAAAAGTAGTACAAGAAATGTCATCCCAACATCCACACATAATAATTCAACAAAACACAACATAAGTTGGGGATTTTTTTTGTTTCTAAGCATTCCTAAATGAACCTAAGATCTAAAATACATAGCCAGTACCAAACCAAAACAACAAAACACAACAATAGTATGTACTGTGAGCATTTTCTTTGTTGTTGCATTGCTGCCATGCACTTCCTTGATCATCTTCTTCCTGTCTGAGCTAAGAGCTTTGCATTTCATCTTCAAGTTGTCAATCTCATTGAGCAAGCACCTCCTTTGTCCACTAACATCATCAACTTCCCTCTTCATGTCATTCAACTCTCCCTTCATTAGTTTCTTGTCCAGCAGCAAGTTGTTAATCACCTCTGTTTGCCAAGGTGTTCCATCTGGTTGATCCACCCACTCAAAAGCTTTACACCCCCTTGACTCAGTCACAGGATCATAGAATTTGCAGGTCCTAAACTTGCGTCCTGGGTTCTCCCTAGTCCAAGCAGTCAGCCTAGACATTGGAACTCCACATTGGCATTTTTTCTCCTTTGAGGGTGACATGCTAACTGAAGACATTCCCTTCTGAAATTCAGTAAGAACAAGAATGAAATTAATTGTATTTGAACACAATCACCATAATATAACCCTAATTTCAGTAGCCAATTCACATAACAAAAACCCCAATCTAATTTAATCTTACATGAACCCTAAGTATTTTAATTGAAATTGGGGTTTAATTGACCTCACAAAACGCCCAATTTCAATTACTCTTAGCAAATGCAACATAATCACGCAACGAATTGCCAAAAAATTACACCAGAAATCACGAAAATTGCTAGAGAATTAACGACAATGGCTTACCTTTTTGATGCTTGTTGTCGAGGAGTTCAATTGATTGTTTGATAATTAGAGGGTTTGGGATTGTTAAGGTTGCCCAAAAATACTGATTTGTGAAGAAAATCGCAAAAATTAATCTCCAATCTGCAAGAATTTGGTGTACAAATGAAGAACTAGGTTTAAATAAAAGGGAATCGAGAGAAATTTGGGAAAAAAATCAAAAACTAGCCGTTATGCTGGGCCCCACAAGCGTTTTCCGTCACCTGAGCTCAGATGAGGTGGTAAAACTGATGTTTAATTTTTTTATGAGGTGGTAAAGTAAATTTTTTTTTTTGGAGGTGGTAAATTCGACAAAGTCATTATTTGAAGGTGGTAAAAATGAAAATTTCCTAAATTTTATGACCGTTGTTAATTTTAATTTTTTTTTTAATAAATATTTATTTCAGAATTTACATTACAAAAAATATAACCATTGCAAATTGTGGGGCCCACCAGAGCACTATTCATCTTCAAAAATGCTCAAGTCTTGGGCATTTTCAGAAATGCTCATGAGCATTTTTTGGCTTTTTCCCATTTGCTCACCATTGTAATGCATGAGCAAATTTTATGCCCACCCAAAATGCCCATGAGCAAATTTTTAGCTCACCATTGGTAATGCTCTTAGTAAGACTCCACAAAATGAGTTGTTTTTTACCTCCAATGGTGAGACGCAATCCACTTCTCAAATTAGCAACTTATGTGAAGTCTAATTTCCCAATGGTGAGACTCTCTAAAGTATACTAATGTCACTTTCAATTTATGGTCCACCAAATCCATATTATAAGTTTTTTTTTAAAAATAATAATAAAACTTAAATAAATTACAAATATATTATAATATTAATAAATGGGCCACACTTTTTGTCAAATGAGACTCAAAGTTGAGTATCTAAACGTAGCAACTTTCTTTTTGGAGTTGCTAAGTTTAGATACCAACTTATTGCTATCCTTTGCAAAAAATACTCTTTATCTCCCAAAAAAACTCCTTAAAGTCTCATCATTGGAGATGGTCTAAGACTCCTTTATTTCAAAAAAAAAAAAAAAAATGTTAAGACTCCTTAACATTCAACTAAATTTAGAACTTCATTCCTCATACTCATAAAAGATTTCTTAAATATATATATTATTATTTTTTTCATCTTTATATATGATATTTTTAAAGGAAATTTTGCAATGGTGTCGTAAGTTACATATTATATAGCTGAAAAATAATATTAAACCACTAGATATATAATTATAAATAATTATGAAATTACATGAATATTGTGATATACATAATGCCAAACCGTACAATTTACATTTTTTTATAATTTAAATTTCCTGATGAATACAATAGCAAATAATAGAATACTTTTGTTTAGAATACAACAAAAATTAGCAAATAATTGGGTACTGTATTTTAAAATACAACAAACAATTTTCTCAATAAAAATAAATACAACAATCAATTGCAAATAAACGTACACTTTACATTTTTTTTCCAATAAAATCTAATCAAATTGTTGTAAATGATAATTTTCTTAAGAGAAAAAATGATGATAATTGATTATCTTTCATCAAAATATTGTGCATTGGTATACATATATAGGCAGAATATAGTATATAGAGTATAAGTTGAGTCTTGAATTTCCTAGACTCCATTCAAGACTTTGTTGAGACTATGCTTCGTAACTGCAGAAATTTTATGAAGTCTTGTTTTAAGACAATTTAATAGTGATTTGTTGATGTGATGTAGAGTCTTAAGACCCAGGGCTAATTAATATTAATTGATTTTTAAAAGAATAATATAGCAAACATATATGAGTATATTGTTGTTTTAATAAGTGCAACGTCTCTGTTGCACGCTTTTTGAAAAAGAGATTATATAAGGTAAATGAATAAATTAATTAAAATTTCATAAAAAAAAAATTAACTAAAATAATTTAAACATTAACATCACTAAAAATAATTTAAACATTAACATCATTAATATCTATGCACTAATCGACTTTCTTCGAAAAAAAAAAAAAACGTCACAACATATCTGTGTTCAAATTATATTACTTCTTTCGTTTTTTTTATACTAAACTAGTTTAAAACTTGTGCTATGCAGGTTTTACAATAATATTTCATTATTCGTTTATTAGAAATAGTACAAAATGAAATCATTAAAAGTAAAAAGACATAAAATAAAAAAGTACAATAAACATTGTGATATACCATAAGATTAATCTTAATGTCTAAATTTATAGTACAATTAATGTGAGATGGAAGGAGATAACCAAAAAAAAAAAAACTTTTTGATAATATCATAAGTAGTATTTTATAAGAGCGGGTGATAAAAATAAAATAAAAAATAAAAAAAAAATCTTATGATCCCTTAAACCGGAAGGGAAGTTCCAATCACCCCTCACTTTCACAAATTAATTTATTACATAGATTATAAAATGTTTAACCGTGCATCGCGCACCGATACTAATCTAATTTTATATTATTACGTAACATTTCTTATTCTTTCGCACTATATTTTTTAATTTTATTTAAATTATTATTGTTTGGCATCATTCCCTAAATATAAGGCCAAACTTTTTCCTAAGATATAGTAACAAACTTCTTTCAATAACCAAAAAAAAAAAAAGTAACAATATTTGTTTGGCCAGAAAATTTTTAATGAGGTAATGACACGTGTACTTAGGAGATAACTATGGGGATTACTTTAGTATATACTAGGTTAGTTCAGTGCGATGCACAACTTTAATAATTAAAAAAATACTTGTAAGCATGTAATATAAATGTTTAGGAAAACATAATAAATTGTGATCCCTCTCATTAGATTAATTGAGCTAAAATGAAGGAAATGATGTTAAATATTCTAATTAACTTCATAGCTATAATAAAAGATTTTAAAATGTAAGCATTCATACTTGATTCATTATAGAAAATTTGAAACATTAATAAAGAGTGGAAAATCCAAACTCTACAATCACTAATAAAATGCATGAGATTGTCAAAAAAATTATGTAGGTGGGAAAAAAAATGTGAAAGAGACCAACCGTCAATTATTTTTACTCCATAGGAATAGAAATTGTTTATTTAGTCAATTTAGTCATTAAAGGTTTTAGAAAAATGTATAATTAATCAATCATTTTTAAACAATAGCTTTACCTTGAAAAAGAAAAAAAAAATGATAATAATAGTTTTGGAGGGAAATCTTTTTAATAAGAAGGAAATTTTGTCAACAACTACCTATTTAAGTCTCTGTTTTGAAAACAACTACCTTTTAAAAAAAAAGTTTAAAACAACTACCACAAACTTGTAAAAAGTTAGAGTAGCACTACCACTTTTAAAATTCCGGCAAGAATCTCCGGTGAGTGGGGCCCACATTCGTCCTTTCCCTCCAATTTTTGACTTGGACTTGAACCCTAATGTTGGACTTGTATACCAACAAAATGTTGGCTCACTTGGTAAGTTTCTTATCTCATACGAAGTATTCTAGAGCTATGAGGTTCAAATTTTACTAAGTCGGGGTGCTTGGGGGTATAGGGATACTTTTACCCTTTCCTCTACTCCTAAGTGTTTGACCCGTAAATATTAGACTAAAAAATGGTGATGGTTGAGATCTGGACGTTGAGGTCTGATTAGGGTCGTCTTTCTTACCAAAAAAATATATATATGACACATGTAGAAAGATAATAAAGTAGGAAACGATAAGTTAGAATAAATGCAAAACTATCCTAACTTTTTATAGTGAAGAATATATGCAAAATTATGATATCGATTGGATATCTAAAGTATGGAATTTGATACTAATGTACTATCATCGAAAACTAGTAGTGATATAAGGTAAGAATTGTATATAAATAGGCGCGAATGGTTGGCCAATATACTGGTATAGTGTAAAACACAAATAAACTTCTTTAGTATACATATAATCTAAGGTTCAAATATCCGATCAAGGTAATGCTATATTAAGGGCTCTTAAATTTGATAAAATATACTGTTATATTTTAGCTTGAAACATGTTTATCTAATTTCTTATTATATTGGTATCTGCTATATAGCAGGGAAAAATGGCCTCAGCACAAGAAGCAATTGTTATGAACGACGCAGAGAAAGCAGTCGTGGAGAAGATGGTAGAGGTGGCTAAAAGCATTGGCACGACTGAAAAGGATATGGCCGTTGATGCTAAGAATATGCAACAAAATAGCGCAGTTGTCGCCATGACAAACTCCACCTTTGCAAGCATTAATTTCTCAAACTCTCATAATTGGTTTGGGCAAATCACAGGTAGTTATCCTGGAGTTATTACTAAAGGGTCTCATGCAACCTTTACCCATAAGGCGGATGCTAAGAATGGCTCCAAGGGCGCGGTAGTGTATATGGGCACTAATAAAGAAGGAATGCCGTGTGGATGGCTTTTGGCTTGGTATGCACCCATTGATCCTTCCCCGTCGACTCGTAATAAGGTGTATGTTACCTGTGGCAAAGCTGCTAATTTTGATAATGTGAATTGGAATCAAGTCCAAACTAAATTGGATGCATCTGCTGATCTTGTTAATTACTATGACTCAACTACTAAGACCGCCATTCATGCCAACATCCAACCAGGCGCCAACTTCGCATCAGTTGGGGCTAGCTTCGGAGCTGTTTAAGCACCACGAACAACTTATATGGACTTTGGATGTGTCCTTCCTATATATAAACTAGGAATACATCATCTTATATTAAGTGCGAGTACATTTTTATGGGTCACTCATAATTATACATGCTCGCTAGCTAGTACGTTCTTATCATGGCTTGCATGTTAAATATACTAATATTGTACTCTAATAAAGGACCCAACTAGTATTTATCTATATTACTCTATCTTACACACAGGTATTTATCTTACATATCCATATTTATCTTATACTTCGTATTCTTATATGATACGAAGTACCTCTTTGTTATAATTATATATCCATGTTTATCTTACATATCCATGTTTATCTTATACTTCGTATTTTTATATGATACGAAGTACCTCTTTGTTATAAGAACCATACTTAATGGCGGTGAACTAGTGATAGTACCCTCACCTACTGGATATTGATTAATTGTATTTTGGTCATTCATTTTTTTTATTCAATTCAAGTTTTCACCTAGCAAAACTTAAAATTATTCATCGGCTTCCCCAAATATGTCATGCTCATTAGGAAACGTAAAATCAACTCAATTTAAATTTTAAATTGTTTACAAACTTATAGGTTCATTATTTCATTAATGAGCTTTTATTTTTCTATATTTTTTTTTTTTTTTGTAAAAATGGTAGGGAAAAGGGAACATCAGGGAGGACTTATGAGAATAACATCTAATGTATCAAAAATAATAATAGGCATAAACTAGAATTATCTTACGAAACAATATCAAGATAATCTGACACTAAGTATCGACATTAGCTATCCAATCTCATGTCCGAATTTCATGCGATGAACATTCCTGTTGTCGAATTGTTGAAGAAGGGATGAGCGAATATATATATAATTATGTGATCTATTTGCCATAGCTAGCCATAAACCTTGTACTGAATTGAGGACCAAAAGATTGTCTCCCTCAATGATACCCCGTAATATATTTGGTGCCTTTAGCAATTGCTAATTTGATGGCCTTATAAAGAGTTATGGCTTTATCTATGAAGGATTTTGTTTGGATTTTTCTTCATTAGACTATAATTTTTATTTTATTATTATTCTTCCCAAATTTCTGTCTAGACCATTCTTTAAGTTTTGTCTTAATTATTAACAATTTTTGTTGGACACGAAAGAACCTTGACCCTTGAATCGGAGCACATCAATTTTTCCTAACAATGGAATGCGATTCCTCATTTATGGTCCAAAACTTTAGGACATAAATGGTTATTATCATTGTTATGATGATCGATGCACATGATTTGAGAGTTGAGGCCATGTTCATTTCACCTTAAAATAATAATATTTAGTAAAAATAAGTTCAGTTCGGTAAAAATAAGTTCAGTTTAGTAAAATTAATTTCAGTTTAGTAAAAATAATTTCGGTTCAGTAAAAATTAGTTACTCTAAAGAAGAAATGTATTAAAGAATCAGTAAAAATAATTTCAGTTTAGTAAAAATAATTTTAGTTCAATAAATTTAATTTCAATTCAGTAAAATTAATTTCATTTTAGTAAAAATAATTTCAGTTCAGCAAAAATAATGTGAAATGAACGGGGCCTTAAAATTCCCATAGCCCAATGTAAAGTAGAATTTGATAAGATAGGATAAATGCAAAACAATAGTAACTTTACATATTGAAGAATATATGCAACATTAATGATATTGATGCAACATTAATGATATTGATTGATTTCTAAAATATAGAATTTGATACTATTCGAACTAGTAATGATATAAGGTAAGAATTGAATATATATAAGGAAATTTTGTTAAGAACTACAATTAAAATGACTACTTTTGAAAACAACTACCTTTTAAAAATAAATTTTGAAAAAACTACCACAAAATTTTTGAGTAATACTACCACATATAAATATGTTAGATGAAATATATTGTTATATTTTACCCAGACATGGTTTATCTAATTAATAACTGTAGGTATACTTATTAATTTGCTATTTATTTATTATGTATTAGGAAAAAAATGGCCTTGGCACAAGAAGCAATTGGTATGAACAACGCGGAGAAAGCAGTCGTGGATCAGATGGTAGAGGTGGCCAAAAGCATTGGCTCGTCCAAAAATGATCTTGCCGATGATGACACATTCGAAAATGATATGATCTTGGCGACGATGATGCTCAATATGTACATCAAAACAGTGTGATTGTCGCCTTAACAAACTCGACCTTTGAAAGTATTGATATTTCTGAATCTTATGATTATTGGTTTGGGCAAATCACGAGCAGTTATCCTGCAATTATTACTAGCTGATCTAATGCAAGTTTTACCCATAAGGCAGATGCTAATGTGACTTGTGGTAAAGCTGCTGATTTCAACAACGTGAATTGGAGCCAAGTCCAAACTAATTTGATGCATCTTCCAGTCTTGTTCATTTCTATGACCCAACTTCTAACACAGTCATTCGTGCCACCATCCATTCAGGCGCCAACTTTGCATCAGTTGGCACAAGCTTTTTAAGTATTTAAGCGCCACAAACAACTTAAGTATTTGACATAGTCCTTTCTTATAATAAGTACAAGTATCCATGCTTGCTAGTTCTTATCATGGCTTGCATGTTAATTATACTCAACTAGTTTTGAGCACCGCCTTTTTTTTTTTTTTTTTTTTTTTTAATAATAACGATGCTTTTTAATTAGTGGGTGCCTGTATTTTCTACTAGTGTAATAACGGGCCCGACTTATAATCGATTATATTACTTTTATCTTATACGAATTACATACATAATAAAAATTATATGTTCATTATACATAATTACCTCTTGTTTGTGAAAACAATACTTTTTTTTTTTGAGGCATTGTGAGAACCGTACTTAATCGTGGTGAGAATCCTCGTGCTGAGTATTAAATATTTGATATTTTAGTCGCTCATTTATTTTATCCCATTCAAATTTTCACTTAGCAAAAGTTATAAACATTCATTATAACTATAATAACTTCCCCAAATATGCCATGTTCATTATTAGGAAACTTAAAATCAGCTTAATTTAATCTGTCATACTCATAGATTCATTAAAAGGAAAAACAAGTTTATCTCCATGACAAACTTGCAAATATATCATGTGGTTTTTTCCGTCATTTCTCACAATAGAGCATGGGTATTTTTGCCATTTTCAAATAGAAGAGTTGAAATGAGAGGGAGCATGTATGTAATTGCATTATCTAGTGAGAGTTAAATTATCGTCAACAAAGAGAGCAGAGGGGGATAACCAGATAAGTAGGAAACAACAAATGTGGTTAATTGAATGAAGAATACTTTATCCTACAACTAGTTGTATGACACACAAATAACATAACCAAGGTAGAACCGCGTCAAAAAATAAATTTAACTGTAATATACGTAACATAATCGGCTATACAACATACATACATACAATATACTTTAATTAATGAACACAACAACATTTTATGTCCTAGCCATTAACTAGAGGTGTCTAAACCGACCTGATCTGAAGCCGAACAAAAAAAAAAGAAATTTGGATTTCAACTTGTTTCAGCACAATACTTTAGAATGACTCGAATTTAAAATAGACCCAAGCCGATTTCACAGAACCCGACTCGGACATCCAAATCGACACATGTAGCCGTAAGCAACCCAATTACGTAACCAAGAGTCCAAGACCCAAAACCGACGATACCTCCCCAAAACATTGAACCTTGCTATGTTGTTACAAAATCACATCAAACGTGCATACAACTATACAACTATACAAGTATACAACAACCATGTACAATAAAAAAATTGGGCTTATAAATGTACACCGTTAAACAATAATGAAGTAACTAATTATAGCATTATTAAATTAATCTACCCTTAAACTTCGGATCACTAAATCAGACAGAGGAGAGAGAAAATACAATACGAACAACCCTCCCACATCTTTCACACTCCCTTCCTCAACTTCCCATGACTGTAACATAAAATACCACCACCAAAAAAATAAATAAACAGATCTAATTTCACACAATTTAATTTAATAAATCAATAAATTATAATCAAATATCTCAAAATCAAATCTCAATTTTCCGCCATTGAAGCTTACCTCAAGCTTTTTCGATTTTCTCTCTCCTCTTCTCTTCTCTTCTCCATGCCTCGACCTCCAAACACCGAGTTTCAAGAATGGTGGAACAAGCAGCAAAAGGAGATTCACAACAATCTAACAACAACGACAACTTCTGCTACTTCTGCTAGTACAATTTCTTCTTCTTCAACCTCGGAAAACCCTAATTTTCTCAAAGTTGAGATCTCTGCTACTGATTCAATCTCATCGCCTGTGAATCACAAGGATCGTCGGAATCGGAGTCGAAGTGTTCGTCAACTTTCGTTCTTCTGTTTATTGAAGGTTCAGCAATTTCTTCACTCTATTTCATCGATTTTCGCGTCTTTTCTCTCTCTTCTGAGAACTGCGAATCGGCGAATTGCTGATTCGCCGCCATTGCCGCATCGTCATTCGTCGAATTCTAGGTTTTATCGTTTGATTAAGGTGTTGTTAGGTGTGGTTTTGATTTTGCTGTGTTTTGAGTTGATTGCGTACTTTAAAGGCTGGCATTTTAGTCCGCCATCGTTGCATAAGGCGGAGGTGTTAGGGTTTGTTGAATTGGTTTATGCTAGTTGGTTGAGAGTTAGGGCGGAGTATTTAGCTCCGCCATTGCAGAGTTTGTCCAATATCTGCATTGTGTTGTTTCTTGTGCAATCTGTGGATCGTGCCGTGTTGATGTTGGGTTGTTTTTGGATCAAATTGAGAGGGATTAAGCCGGTCGCGGTTATGGAGTATTCGTCCAAGTCTGAGGATCATAGTTTGGAGGATTTTCCAATGGTTTTGGTACAGATTCCTATGTGCAATGAAAGGGAGGTAAGATGATGTAGGTTTCATTTCCCCTGTTTTTAATTATGGTTTTGATTCAAGTTTAGTGTTTTTTGGTTATCTTATTGTCTATCTATCTTTCTTGTGATAGTAGCTGAGATAGTTGATTTATGAATTAGATGTAGTGGAATTAAAATTGTAGAATTTGATTTAGTAGGATTTTGAATTGTAGAGCTTAGGGTAAATTTGAAGATGGATTCTGATATGATAATATGAGCATGCCTTAATTGTTGAAGATTCACATGATGTGGTTAGTAGCTTACAAAATTTGCAATTTTTACCTTGAAGTTGAAATTTTTTCATTCCGATAAGTGTTCGTGTCAAAATATCAATCAATCAATCAAAGTATAAACTAAATCCAAGCATACTGGATTATTACTAACCAAGATACCAAAACATTAAGGAAAGTAATTGAAGCCTTTCCCTATAAAGTATAAACTACTCAGATTCTAGTATGTTTCAAGCTCCTAGCTTTACAAAGAAAATACTCAACATAGCATCCTTCTCACACATATTGATGTTAAAATCCAATCCTAGATGCACCTTTGATTTGGCTTTCTGGTTTCTGACTGCCTGAATCTTTTTAAATATACCCAAAGTAGCTTTACTAATTCTGAGCTTTCCTTTCCCTCCAAATAGCACCCATTTTAAACATTATAAAACTCTAATCTTGGTTGGCAGTATTTACTGCCAATTCATCTACTGATCTTCCTTCAAAAAGAGTAATTTTATAGATTAGAGCATAAAGAAGAATTTTTTTTTCATGACTTTTGGACTTCCCATAGTTTGACCACATAAACGGTGGCAAGACTAAGATGTAAAACATGTATTAGTGCCAAATTAAAGCAATCTATCTTGAGTGGTCAATACTGTTAAATCTTTTTTGCCAGCCAGCCAACCACAGACAGGAATCTTCTCTAAGTTTAACTAGCTAGGGGAGTTCATAGGACTGGTTTTGTCTAAAGAACTCTTATGAGGATAGCTTCTTATACTCCCTTGTATTGTGAGGACTGTTTTCAAGTTTCAACATTATAGCATCTTGACGAAACCATTGATAATATCTTTTTATTGATTGTCCTCATAGATTCACAGTGAGAGAAAGCGTTATGGATGCTATAAGATAGCTGGATATTTCTTGTAGCCTGTCCAAGATTAAAATATAATTGTGCTATCAAAATTTGGGACTTTTTATATATATTACATCTGTTTGTTTTCTAACCAGCAGAAAGCTTCCATTAAGTGGCACTAAGTAGATAATGTAGCAAGATTTTTAGTGGTTCTTTATAGAGTTGAAATGAAAGTCAATAGTACAATTAGCTTATGCTTTTTTCATGCCATGAATATGCCAATATTTGGACTTTTACACTATTCAGTTACTCGCTTTTGACCGTCTATTATGCTTTATACTTAGCGAAAAATACATTCATATGGGATCTTCTTAAGTCGTGTTGTTATGTACATACAAAGTATCAACTTTTTTACATTTTTACTAGTAAAAAATTAAAGATTTTAATGGTTAAAGTTTTGCGTTCGGAAGCATAAACTCTACATGTTGCCATATTTATGGAATGGAGGAAGTAGATCATTATATGATGTTAAGGCCTAAAAAATAATACTCCCTCCGTCTCTTAATTAGATGCCTACTTCTCTTTATTATGTGAGTAATAAATGCTAGAAATAGGTATCTAATAAAGGGACGGAGGGAGTAGTAACTACTGTGTACTGAGACTTGATCTATATTCTCGTCCAGTTAATCCGTTCTTCCAAAGATCTTTCATAATACGTACTGATTGATTTGACAATTGAACATCTCTTTTTTTTTGTTTATTTTTAGAAAGATTTTGAATTCCAAGTGTCTTTAGTTTCCATTGCTTACCTTCTTTTGTCACGAGAATAAACCTTTTTTTCTTTGTTATTGTTGAAGCTTTTGTCAATTTAACTTAACAGTATTACACGTTTTAACAAATTTTCTTCCTAATCCAGTTTTTAAGTGTCTGTTTTTGACAAGCTTCGAGGAAATTACTCTTTCTTTTATCCTTATGTGTTCATTTAATCCTTTTCTTTATTTTGTATCATAAATAGTGACACATGAGCTTGAAGGACCATCCATTTTTGCAAATTTCAATTGCTATTTCTAAAAATGAGAGCTTTATTCCGTATGCGTTTCCTCACTTGACCTAATCCTTTCTTTTTTCCGTATGCGTTTGCTGGCCAGATATTTGCATCTTCAAAATATTATAATTACATGCTTGCAAAACTGGGCTGAAATTGGAGATAGAACACTTAAATTTGTTGCCTTTTGAATCAAGCAGTGAAGTTACTAACTAGACTAAATGAGTTGCTGTATGTTGATATGCTCTGGGGAATTGGTGATTTAACATGCATGTCTTCTGATATAGTTGAAACATCTTTGATCATATTTGATCTTTCTCCTGCTTAAATTTATGTGGTTTATGTTGAACAGGTCTATCAAAATTCCATTGGAGCAGCATGTGTCCAGGACTGGCCTAGGGAAAGAATGCTTGTGCAAGTTTTGGATGATTCTGATGATCATGAAGTCCAACAGCTGATAAAAGCAGAAGTTCAAAAGTGGCAACAAAGGGGTGTACGCATCTTATACAGGCACCGGCTTATCCGGACAGGTTATAAAGCTGGAAATCTAAAATCTGCAATGAATTGTGACTATGTCCAAGATTACGAGTTTGTTGCAATCTTTGATGCTGATTTTCAACCAACACCAGATTTTCTGAAGAAAACTATTCCATATTTCAAGGTACTCTATTTTCTATTTATGTACTTCCTACTGTTTAGGCTTGAGTAGATAAACTTTGGTTGAGCTGCTGATATTTTCCTTCATTTATGCAACTCTTACACTAGTCTTTCATAGTTATGGGTTAACCTGGTTATCAGTGGCCTATTAGCCCATACTGTCAGAAATTTCAGATTAATGAGTAAATTGGTGAACCATTGCATATTGTGCTGTATTGGTTCGTTTGAAAGATATTATGCTATTTGCACTTCATCTAAATGCTTTCTTTGTTCTCCTCTTTGTATTTAAGGGAAATGATGACCTTGCGTTAGTCCAAACAAGGTGGGCTTTCGTGAACAAGGATGAAAATTTGCTGACAAGATTGCAATACATAAATCTGGCGTTTCACTTCGAGGTTGAGCAGCAAGTAAATGGAGTGTTCATCAACTTCTTTGGCTTTAATGGAACAGCTGGTGTTTGGAGAATCAAGGCTCTAGAGGATTGTGGTGGCTGGTCTGAAAGGACAACTGTTGAAGACATGGATGTTGCTGTCCGTGCTCATCTTTGTGGATGGAAATTCATCTTTCTCAATGATGTGGAGGTTGGCACATGCTATAATTTGAAATGTTGATGAAATAATGAAGTATGCTTGTTCTAAATTGAAATATTTTTGCAGTGCCTTTGTGAGCTGCCTGAGTCTTATGAAGCGTACAAGAAACAACAACATCGCTGGCATTCTGGTCCTATGCAATTATTTCGTATGTGCTTCATGGAAATAATTCGATCTAAGGTATGGAACTTGTTTTCTCAATATGTTTTCCTCATTGGTTTGGGCTCGAAATTTACATATCTGTTTTTTCTACTTTTTCTTGCCTTTGTAATCTTGCTGCTTATTATTTAAGGTTGTGTTGGTTGTTAATTGGGCTAGGTTAATATGGGTTGGGTTGGGGAATTCAGGGAAGTGTTATTACCAGGTTTTAGTGATTGTGCAGGAGAACGAACTCTCATCTGTGTTTAGTCACGTTATATTCAAAAGGAACCCATACCTGTTGATATAGTTCCTAATTCACTTCTCATTGAGGGTTGGACTGTAGAGAATACCGTTGGGGTGGGGGGTGGGGTGGAGGTAACCATCACAATAGCCCAGAATCTTGAGAGGGGAGAGGGTGAGGGAATCAAAGTGTCCCTAGAATTTTTGTAATTACTCATTATTTTTCCTATGGAGACTTTATAGAAATATAACTGAAGCTGTGAAGCGAGTTTATGTTGGTATAAGAAAAATTTTGAGCTGTAATATCTTTTCACAAAGAAAGGGAATCATATTGAAATTCATCTTGTAGATAAAAAAGTATGGCCTTCATCCACTATGATGACTACTAAAAGTACTAATTACTAGGGCATGTGCCTGTTGCTAGTGAGGCATCATACCGAGCTTGTTTTGGATTCTAGAAATTATTCATATTGGTTATTTGCCTATTTGGCTTCAAGATCATATTTCTGCTGTTGTACAGATCTCCCCCAAGTATAATCTGAATCTACAATTTAGTCGGGGCTTGACTTCTTGAGTAAGCCACATCTCTTATGGGCTTCTGTTTCTGAGTTGCTAATCAATTTGTAAGCTTTGTATTGCGAGAATTAGCGACTGGATTAAACCATCAATTTTGGATTTTCCTTTGGGAAGAAATATTCATAGGTTTTTGTTGGTTCTAGCCTATATCTTTTTTCTTAGTGATCCCATGCACTAGCAGTTGCAAGTAGCCATTACAAGCGCTCCCATCAATGAAGTTAAAGTAACGTTCCCTGCTGGCCGTTATATTCAATGTTGAAATTTATTTAAACTGATATTTTACTTGTTGGAGTATTTTAGTAATTTAAAATGTACTTTAATTTGTAAAAGTTACAAAATTGACCCTTTTTGTTGTGTTGCTTATACACTTTTTTCTTTTCTGATGTTCTCTTTACGTTTCAGGTGAGTTGGACAAAGAAGTTCAACCTTATATTTCTTTTCTTTTTGCTTCGAAAGCTCATTCTACCCTTCTATTCCTTCACTCTCTTCTGCATCATTCTTCCGTTGACTATGTTTCTCCCAGAAGCTCATTTACCAGCTTGGGTAGTCTGTTATGTCCCTGGTTTCATGTCTCTGCTAAATATTCTTCCAGCTCCACAGTCGTTCCCGTTTATAGTCCCCTATTTACTATTTGAGAACACTATGTCAGTTACCAAGTTCAATGCCATGATTACTGGATTATTTCGATTTCAAGGTTCCTATGAGTGGGTAGTAACCAAGAAATCAGGAAGATCATCTGAAGCTGATCTACTCGGTTTATCTGAAAAGGAATCTGAAGTTTTGGTAAACACATCCATGTTACCAAGGTCCGCATCAGACTCGGGCCTTGAAGAGTTGAACAAGCTGAACATGAGCAAGAAAAATGGGAAAAGCAAAAGAAATCGGTTGTACAGGAAAGAACTTACCCTAGCATTCATTTTGTTGACTGCCTCAGTTAGAAGCTTGTTATCAGCACAAGGAATTCACTTTTATTTCCTTTTATTCCAAGGAATAACTTTCTTGATTGTCGGTCTTGATTTGATCGGAGAGCAGGTGAGTTGAAGCCTTCTGTTACAATGCCTGGGCAGTAACAACCCGTTAAGGAATTCTTAGCCAAAGAATCTGGTCCATGCAAAAACAATGCCAAGATCTCCTTTACCAGGAGTGCGAATAATGAATGCTTCTGTGACCGCAAGTAATTTGGCAAACAGTTCAGCTATTTATTCAATTGGCATTGTGTTACAGCCTATATCTGTATCTATTCATTCGTGGAGACATTCATATTTACAGTTGCCAGATTACACAAATTTTAGTATCATATAGACTGGGTCTTCGGCGCAGACCCTTGTAGTGGGGGAAGCTCGGTGTGCTTTGGATTGTTTGTGGTGAACTTATACTTTTACTGTGAATTACCGGTGTCAAAAAATTAAAGGTGACTCCAGGTGAATATGTTGATTTGTCAAACCATTCTTTTATAGTAGTCATATAATGTCCTAGATCAGTTATAATTTGCTCTTTATGTCTGTTTAGGCTGTCAGGACCTGTTTTATTCTTGCTCTTCTTTAGATACAAAATAGGAAGCCCGGATAAAGATATTTATCGATAGCATTTTTGTTGTAGTTTATCTCATAGAAGGTTTATTACTAAAATTATCTCTTGTAATAGGATTTTATTGTAAGAAACAAGACATAGTATGAGTGTATACCCCAATTGATCTTGAGGGTTTAATTATTATTTCAGGTGTGCTCTACCTTCCCTGCCAGTAGGAGTTGGCAGTTGGATGTTTGTTTTAATTTTTATTTAAATGTGTATTGTGGTACAAACTTTTAAATAGACAGACATGTTTACATTAATTTATTGTAGACCACTAATAGTAGAGATAATAGTGGTCTTATTAATAAAATAAAAAAAAAAGTCACTTTGTTAAAATAAAGGTAATTATGTTAAAATTAAAGTGATTGTGTTTTTATAAAGGTCATAAGAGATTAATTTTTTTTTTAATGAAAATTTAAAATAATGGTCAATATAAATAATAAAGGTCACTAGGTAAAAATTAATGTTACTCTGTTTAACATGACGTCATACTTCAGGTTTACAATATTTAATATAAGGGTCTTATATTCGATATAAAGTCAGTTCTGTACGTATAGACCTTGGGTCCACAATAATATTATTGTGAACTAGGTCCACACAAATTTTTTGAGTATTGTGGTGGTTATTAACAACATCCAATCCAATCTAATCCGAAGTAGATTACAGTATTTTGGACAAAATTAAAAATTTGAGTGAAAATAAACTACCATATCAAAATTCATTTTTCAAAATATTTTAATACAATCTGATCTAATTTTTTTTAAAAAAAAATCAACCTGACTCTAATTGGTATAGACCAGATTGGATTTCAGTTATTTTACGAGTAACAGACTCCCCTACTTCCAACATTTATAACATTTGCTTCTTCCCCCATTATTAGTAGAGGAGGGGCTTTCCTACGAAATACTTTCCACTATTGTTACAAACTCATGATTTGTCCCGGCTGGGTAGCATGGATGAGTAAAAATGTACACTAACTGCAGGATATTGCATATACAACACCGTGAATACAGGTGCAACAGTATGCATATCGCAGTACCTGCTGATGCACATTTTACTGGAAGTCTTCTCAAATCCACTTTACAGGTTTACAAGCTTACTTTATAGGTCATGACGGAAACAACATGAAGCATTGTATACCCTATTCTAAGTTCTCAACATATACTTCATGTTTATAGAGTATTTTTTTTCCCAGCCTGTTGATTAGATTTTAATCTTGTACATATCCTAAAAATACCTCAACATGCATGGTTGCTTACTTATTTGCCCTACAAACCATTGACTGGATTGCTCTTTCTCCAGGAGCCCTGTAATAACCCAGAGATTCAGAAGGTTACCCTTAACTACCAACTAGTCTGCTACTTTCAGAGTATCTAAAAACTTGCACGAAAATAGAAAGCATACAAAACATCTATGAGACTTGAGAGTAAATGTAATGTTCTAGTTTTCTTTCCCCAATGTTAAGCAAGTTCTTTTCCACATTAAAGCATAAAAGAGGCCAAATGAATCAGTTCTTATGAGGCAAAAAGCCCACAAAATTATCACAATTCAAAAGTTCTATCGTGTTTTACAACTAAAAAAAAAAAAAAAAGGTATTTGATAAACCACAAGTCCCTCAAATGTTATTTGAATAATTGCCACATTAGCTGTGCTCCTTGTGCCTTTGCAGTTCTCTCCTATCATCGATCCAGCCTCTTCTAAGCACCTCCTGCATTTATTTAATATAAATCAGGACTAATTCGCTAACAAACTTATAGACAAGTCATTTGACTTCAAATAAACTTACATTGGAATCAAACAAACTTTGAGAACATTTTTCCATAAAGTTGGGCATCCTTCTTGTTGTATTCTCTCATCTTCTCCTTCAACTTCTTGTATTCTAGTTTCACCTCCCTGCATTGGTACAAAAGCAAAAAAAAAATAAGAATAGATTCCTATATTGCTGTATTGAGTGTACAACAGAAGCAACAGCCAAAAACAAACTCAGCTTCCTCGGCATGAACACTGGCCATAACCCATAAGTTGCATAACTACATTCAATACATACCCTAAAATTAAGGACCCAAGGGTATTATTGACCTTACTACTAGTGACAATGCTGGAACTTACTAATGTAGTTAAGATTAATCAATTAAAATAAATTGACATGAATTAAACCTTATAATGGCCAAAACAAAACAGCCACCAAAAGAAAATTTAAGCAAATTTTATGTACTTTGAAAAAGGGACTATAATTTAATCAGCTCATTGACTGGCCACTCATAACATATATGCATCTGTTTTTCAATAGTCATATTTGTATATACTTTTCATAAGGTAAAGCCATCAAACAAAATTCGGAATTTCAATATACCTGTTGTCAGGGTCAATTTCTAACGCCTTCTTAACATCAAACTCTGCCAACTCAAGATCTGCTAATTGTATATATGCCTGTGCTCTTCTGTAGAGCGCTTTGACATTCATGCTGTCGATATCCAACACCTATAATTTACACACAAGATAGTCGAAGGTAAAGAGCCAAATCTCGAACAAGTTCACAGTTAAACAATTGTATGGAAGATTGGAAGGCATACCTTGGTGCAAAGTTTCTCTGCTTGCTTATAGTCTTTCAACTTCAACTTACAGGCTGCATTATTCAAATTGCAAGATACCTTCAAGACCTTGGTCAGCTTCTTCTCATCATCACTAAAGGCATTGTCATACTCGACAAATTTAACAGCCTGGATAACACACAAAATGCAGATGTAAGCTTCTAACACACAAAAAACGAGTTATGGAATATTAGCATTCCCTGCTTTTAGAAGCTTACCTTCTCATATCTCTTTGATGCCCTAACATATTTGCCAGCCTTGAATAATGCATTTCCTTCTTCCTTCTTCTTGCCTGCTGCCTCAATTTTCTCTTCATTATTCATGTCCCATGACTCCTTGTCCTGAAGTAACAATTTCTTATGGTTTGATAAATAGTTCAAAATAGTCGTGTTAACATTATAATTTGAGGGTAACAGAGCCAACCAACCTTTTCAAATGAAACCAATTCTACTTCATAAAACACTGTAGAGTTGGGAGGAACCACAGCCAAGTCCTGCTTTGATTCCACAGAGCCAAAGGCATATTCTGGGGCAATTGTTAGTAAAGCCACTTCTCCTTTCTTCATTGTCAATACGGCTTTATCAAGCCCCTCTATAACTTGTTCTGCTTAGACATCAATCAGTCAAGAGTCAACATCTGTAGATGTAAAATGTAAAGAACCAGAATATGAAAACTAAACAGCGAGATTTACCTTCATCTGTCTTAAATTCAAAAAGCTCATCTCCATCTTCATGACCTTTTTTCAAGAAAACCGTGCCATCTTGTAGCTTTCCAAGTAGTTTCACTGCAGAAGTATAATTTCAGGTTCAAACAATAGTATTCCAAGTAACTACCTCTATTAGAAGAATAGAGTATCCCCAAACTTACATTTTACAACAGCTCCTTCATTAGGACGGTCATACCCTTCTCCTTCCTTGAGTATCTTTTTGACAACCTTCTTGTCATCAGTAACATTAGACACAGTCTTCCACGACAGAAGCTCAAGGGCAATCTGAAGAGTGGAATTTGGAGGAACAGCAGCTTCATCACCAGAAGCTGGCTTGCCTTTCTCTCCAAATCCATCTGCAACAGAAGAAGACAATCAGAACAAAAACACAAGAGTTCTGAGAATCTGAGAAATAACCTTCTCATGGAGAAAAGGCTTACATTGCGGCATTACGGTTAGAAGCACCTTCTCCCCCTTCTTCATAGTCTTCACAGCTTTTGACAATGCAGGACAGAAATGACCTGTTGAGACAGTATAAAACACCATCAACATCCACATATTGAGGAGAGTTCTTCTTCTTATTTTTTTTTACAGGAAAGTTACTTATTAGTATGGTACAAATTCAGAAATAGACTAACCTTCACTGACAGTGAACTCCACACCGTCAGACTTCCCAACCAAGGTTCCATCTTCAAGGCGAGCTTCAAATTTCACTGTGTAAGTAGGAACATAGAGCTGAATTAGTAATCTAAGAAGCAACTCCAACATAAATTATAACACATCAGCTTAAATGAGTAGCATACCAAACACCTCATCAGTATCCTTTGGATTTTCCCACTTCTCTCCTTGAGCAAGGACCTTCTTAAAGATTCCACCATCCTTGCATATATCCTTCACACTAACCCATGACAACAACTCGACATCAAACTGCAGGGTAGCGTTTGGCGGGATGGTAGGAGGTGAACCACTTTCACCGTAGGCCAGGGCAGGAGGAATAGTCCAAAGAGCATTTTCACCCTTTTTCATAGTTGAAATACCAACATCCCACCCTTTAATGACTTGACCTGTCACAATTGTTATACATAATAATGTCAAAAAAGAGCCTGCTTACGAGAAAAACCGCCTACTTTACAAGGCATACTATTGACAAGGATTTCCCATAAACAGCCTTATGTTCTTTCCTTTTGAGTGGAAAATGTTTTTCCATGGAAAACAACTTTGAAGGAATAAACACAATAGTAAAAATAATTTCTCTTTGCTTGTTTCCATGTGAGATAAATGGCAGTGAAAGGGAGAAGATGGGTGGAAGGAGATGAAAGGGATGTCAGGAGAGAAGTTAAATTGGCATTTCTTCCTTTCAAAAGTAACATGTTTTCCACCCTTCCGATAACCATTTTAAGCATTTACAAACCAAACAAAAAAAATTTTAAAATTATATTTTCCAGACAAAAATATGTTTTCCGCCAAAAACAAACAGAGCTTTACAAGTTTTGTCAAAAAAACAGAGCTTTAAGAGTTGCTTTAAGAGTTCAATCTTTTCTGTTTTTTCAACTAAATTATCCTAAACTAATTCAAACGTATCCTCTACGCATAAATCCAATTGCACTAACCATGCACAGGTAAAGTTTATGAAGTACAAAATTTATGAGTATATTTTCTTTATATGTTCTTCCTTCTACAGTTCTACTACTAACAACCAGTCATAAATTAGACAATAAAGCCTGGAAGGCAAAATGTAACTCCAATGTTATACAGCTATAAATTCAACCACTAACAAGGTCACTACTACCTAAACAACAAAATCCCAAGAAAATTCAATTTCTGCTACAATCAAAAACTCAAATAACCATAACATTATCAATACACATAACA